ATAAAATTACCCAGGAACTTCATGGAAAAAAGGAAGAGTTCTCTGCCCTATCTCTGTGCCCAGAGATTCGTAAACAAGTTCCGTTTGTGATTTTGGGGTAAGTGATTCTGAGATCAACAGCCATGCACCAAGGATTGGAGAATGAGAAACTGACATTACCTGAGTGACTTCTCAGACCCTGAGCTTAGTTAACCTTTCTCTGTCTCCATACACACACACACACACACACACACACACACACACACAATTTAAAATCACTCAGAAGTTCTACATGTAATGTCATTTTCTTCATTTTTTAAAGTAGGGTGATGAGGCTTAAAGAGATTGTCTACTATTGCATATTTAATTAAGTGATTGATCTGATATTCAAATTCAATGTCTTTTTGAGATCCATAGTTTGTTTCAGTCCAGCCCCAGCTAAGGATTCAGTGAGGAATACACTTGGAACTAAGAAATGTTGGCAAAAATTTGTTGTTTATAATGATTTTTATTCATTCACTCAACAAGCATTTATTGATTATTCTATGTGGCAGGGACTTAGGTAGTGGACAGTGGGGAACAAGACAGGACCTACTCATGTGAAGATTATCCTCTAAGGCCAAACATTATACAGATAATTACTAAATACATTGTAATTGTGATGATTTTCATTGTGATGGTAATTAATGGTTAATTGTTACTTACGGGTTCCTTGGTCCTATTTTGCCAGCTAGAGACTGAAAGCTGACTGGGTGTAAAAAATAGACCTACAGCATCCATGAAAAATATTTTTTCAGGACAAGATTCTTCTGATTTCTTTTTTCTTAAAAGTGAGAAAAACCATTGTTTATCCCACAGGCCTCTGATATTCTAATATGAGGCTGTGAGACACAGTACAAACAGCACTGACCTGGGAATCCTGAGGTTCCCGGATTTAAAAGGATCGTTCTGCCACTAACAAGCTGTGGGAGCTCTAGCAAGTTTTTTAACCTTTGCAAGTCTCAGTTTCTTGATCTGTTATTGTTCTTAATTTTCCCAGTTTTTCAACTTTCCTATAGAGGAACAGCCCCACTGTGGTGCCCTGGAGAACTTGTACGTATCACACGCTACACAGGCAGAGGCTTGAGTTGCAGCTCACCAGTGTTGGATTGCCTTTTCATTCTCTGGAACATGAGAGGATGGGAGGCTTGTGAGAAGTTGCCTTGAAGATCCCATTCACCTCTATTTCCCCTGGTGGCTGTCATGAGATAGGTTATCAATACCTAACAAGTTTTCATGATATATAATGCTTTCTGCTTGCCCCCTTCAAGGGATGGTTGAGACTATGAAACCATTTAGCTGTAGTCTAGAATTGGCCCCTCAGCAATGGATATCCTACAACTCACATTGTAGTCATCAGCCCCTTTCATTTTGATGTTGTACTTTTTGGTGTAGGATAATGGCCTGAGAAGCTGGCACCTTGGCGACTCTTCCTTTCACTGTCTATGAAAATAGTAAAGTGAATCTAAAAGTGACGAGTTGTATTTTTGCCAACTGAGTAAGACAAGCCTGGTCATGCTTTGTGGGTTTGACAGTTCCTTCCTGTCCCAGTATTCTCTGTGTCTATGATGAACTGAGGTGTATATGAAAGGGGCTATAGGAACTGTAGCCAAGACCAGGCCATAGTCCCTGCTGTACGTGCTTGCTGAATAAACATTGTGCTTAGCCTGTGCCCTGAGAACACACAGCTGAGAAAGTAGTTGGAAGAAAGAGTGTCTGCAGATTTAGAGAATGAGAACAACATGTAGAAAGATGAGCTGATGGTGGTGTATTGGTAACCAAAGGAGATGAGAATGAGGACAGTCTTCAGGCTAGGATCAGAATCCTTAGGGGAAAACTAAGGAATTCCTACAGAAATATCCAACTCCTTAAGGAGCAGCCTGAGCTAAGCAGTGAGGGCTGGGAGAGTGACTTATCCCACAGCGAGCTGTTTACCTCCAAAGGAGTCCACAGGATGGACCCAGGGCTCATCTATGCTGTCAGGAAGCATCACCTCCAAGAGAAGAAGGATGTGATGATGAGGCTCTGCCACACACTCCAGAGCTCAGCCTGGGGGCTCTCCTCATAGTAGATGTCCACCGGATACCTGCTGGGTTAGCAGGAAGAAAAGCTGCTCAAAGAAGTGCTGGAGAATTTTACCTTAATGGTTCTTTTTAGGATTTGGAGGTGCTAGGGAAGGAGGGCTATTGCATATAAAGAAATAGCAACAATTATATTCTTCAGTACTTTGTTTACAAAGGATTTTGTATACATTATCTCAAGAATGTTTATGGAGTAATTAATTTTCCTGACACTATGGTAGGACTGGAGGCAAACAGTTCAAATTCTCCTTGAGGACCTCAAATTGGTAGGAAATACATGCTCAAAAAGAGATACTTTTATCAGAATCTGGCAACAGTCTTAATCTTTGACTTTAAGGTGTGTGGAGAATCCAGACAATTCTTGGATAAGAATGGAGGGAGCTAACGGCATCCTCCACATAGGGAGGAGTGATGACGACCGTCCGTGCGGGAATGTCCTCTGGAGGCTGCATGTGCCTGGTAGCTGGGCTGGCTGGCTGGCTGGAGGCTTGGTGAGTGCTGGCCAGCAGTGTCCTGGTGTGCACTGGGCAGGAGGTGTGCTGGCTGGGGGAGTCCCAGGATGCACTGTTCCTCAGGTGCTGTGATGGGCAGGCCGCAGCTGGCATGGTGTGGGCCTGGGGATTCCTGGCATGTGCTGGGCCAGGGACACTTCTTTGGCAGAGGTGCTGGGGTCCAGAGGGCCCCCAGTTTGGGCTATCCTGTTTTGCACTGCATTGGTGCTGGTATGGTGGGACTGTCAGATCTCATGTGGGTGCATTTGGGCATGAGCAGGGAGATCCTCTTGGGGGGCATCTGGAGCTGGTGTGGGCATCCATACTCTGCTCTAACCTGTCTGTGCTATCAGTGTGGGGGGCGAATATAAACAATGGTGCTTACCAGCACCTGTCATCCTGGAGAGAGTTCTAGCAGTTAACCCACCACTTGACAATGCAAGATTTAGTCAGTTGGCTTCCTTCATTTACAGTCTAGCCACCCTTTAAACTGTGGGTTTTCTATGCCCCAGGGCAGATGGATGTGCCCATGGTGTCTCAGTGGTATCCCTCACTACTGCAGGGTGCTGCATTGGTGTTCCTGCTGTCACTGTCACTCTCTCCTTGTGCAGAAGCCGTTCACTCAGCCCCATTCTTCCCCAGGAGGAATTGCTCTGTGTGTAGGTGTGGATTTGGTGTGTATGTGGGAGGAGGTGAGTTCAGGCTCTTCCTGCACCACCATCTCGGACCTCTCTCAGTACAAACTTGTCATTGTGACCCCGAACTACTGTAATTGACAACAAAGATCCCTGAAAACAAGAACTAAGTTAGGGCTCTAGGTCATTGTTTTGAGGATCATTTGGCCTGGAGTTAAGACTTTTCCCCCCAAGATCTAGGTATACTGGTCTGCAGTAATCTTCATGGCACTTTCAGGTGCTTACTATTCTTACCTGACGTTCTGATCAAGCTATCACTAGAATAAGGGCTTTGGAAGCTGTAGTGAATGGAAATTAGTTCAGGAGAGAAGTCTGTAAAAACCTACTTTTGGTTTTAAAATACCATACAGCATATGGACCTTAGGTCTTCTGACCTCTGACGAGAACTTTTGCCCACCTCCCTAGGAAGTCAATGAAGAGAAAACTCCCAAGACAAGGGGCTCCCTCAGAGCCTAACCAAGTACCTGAAGAATTCTAACTGGCAGAATAACATGGAGAAATTTATCTCCAGCCAATGCAAATGCCCTGGAGCCAGGAAATGGATTAGGGAAAAGGAGACGATACTTTGGACCTGCCTATGTGCTGCTGAATGAACACTGGGGTATAAGCTAGAGGGGGAGGGAAGGGGAAAGACTCGTTATCTTTGAAACACTTGTGTCTTGGGAACGGGGGCATTTGGCAGGGATGCAACAGACCTCCAGACAAGGGGGCCGGAAAGAAATGCTTTAGGAAGCACACACCAACGCAACTTGGGGCCTTGACAGGTGCCATCTTGCTTTTTCAGTGACCAGAGTACATGATGTTCAGGAAACCATTCTGCTAGAGGCTGAGTCCACATGACACCCACCACCTTCTACCTCTAGTCGGCAGGCAGTCCTTGACCTGCTACTGATGTTCAAGGCTGACTCTTTGGGTCCTGTCACGGGTCTCCACTGCCTGTCCTACTTTACATCTCCATTTCTCTCATCAACTCCATTTTTCTCACTCTTGTCACTCCAACAGTGTCATTTTCTTCTCTTCCTTAGGGAAATTTAATTCAGGTGAATCTGTAGAGCAGCAAACACATGGGAACCTGGCTGTTGTTTGTAAACAATGTAAAAACCCTGTAAAAATAAAGGGATCAATGAAAACTAATATATTAATCATGGCCCTGAACAAAGCCAACTGAGGAGAGTGACTTGCTGTCAGAGTGAAGTATATAATCTGCTTTCATATATAATAAAGTGTATTATATGACAGGGAAAAATGGTAAGTAGGGACGGTCCAGGATATTGGTCCTTATCCCTGAATGTATATCAGAATCATCTGGGGAGCTTAAAAAAATGCATATGCCTGGATCCCATACGAGAGATTTTTGCTTAATTGGGGTGGAGGTATAGACTGGAAATCTGCACAGATGATAGTGTGCAGCCAGGGATGAAAACCGTTCGTCTAGGATCTCAGCTGATCCAGCACAGGGTGACAGCTAAGTGTGCAGTTTACAGAAAGTGCTGGAAAGCAAGTCGCTGAGTTCGCATTCCTCCGGTCAACGCCGGCGGAGCCTGGAACAGAGAGAAGACAAGTGGTGGTTGGAAGCATATCACTTGTGTCCCTACATCTGACTTCTCTCCTTATTCAAATGTGTCTGTGTGGCAATTTACATTCTTTAGGTCCTGGGATTACCAAAGCAGATAGCTCTTGATAATGTGATCAGTAATCAATGAAGAACTCGAATATTATTGCTGTATAATACTTTTATTCAACAGCTTTATGGGGAAAAACCTCACATTTTGGTATGTGTTACATCACATAAGTTTCAGACATGTCAAGAGTCCAGTGACAAATTACATTTGGAGAAAAGCTTTAAAATCCATTCCTGTATGGCACTCCTTTGTGAAATACTGAAAAGCAGCTTTGTACCTCAGCACTGAAGGTTACAAAAAGCACCATTTAAAGGATGACTCTCACATATTTAGTTCCCTTCAAAATATAGTCTTATTTCCCCTTTATGCCAGAGCTAACACTCATTCAAAATGTTTCAGTGAAATAATAACCAGCCCCCTCCAATTTACCATTGTTTAAAATCCAGACAAATCAAACATGGGGGACCCAGTGTGCAGATTAGGACTAATCAACCTCAGTGAGCTTTGGCTATTGTAAAAGCACAAACAGGAAAGGTAAGTGTGTTCCACAGATGGGAAAAGACAAGACAACGATCAATACATAATACTTATGACAGACCTGACTACAAAATGCACAGAGCGTTTAGCATTTCACATCACTCTTCCTGCAAAAGCACTGTGCTACACAAAATTAATTCAATGTTGGAACTAGTAAAAAATTTAATTTTTAACAAAACTTATTCACTTCAATGCACAATCAAGAAAAGCAAACCCAGACAAAGCCCAAATTTGAATCCTAGAGGTATTCCATTGCTAAGAATTGGATTTCATAAGGAACAGACTTAGGTTTTTTTTCTTTTCTTCCTTTTTCATATAATTTTAAAACAGATTTGGCCCTTTTACTCCAAAAGTTTGGTTCATTGCAGAAATCACAGCCCTTCCACCTCCAAATCTGACTGGCACTTAAGAAGAGACAAATGCCTAGATCCAGTTTTGAAAGACCCTAAGGCCTTCCCCTTCCCAGGTCCTCGATGCCAGGCATAAGTGGAGTCAGCAGTCCCTTGTAAAAGATGCCTAGAACTTGGCTTTAAGGATGAGTCAGAATAATGTTGGAACAAACTGTGTCTGCTCGGAAGTTCATGAGCCAAATCACCAGAGCCTAAGGATTTAGAAATCTTTTGAGAATGTATTTCACACACACACAAACACAGACTATTGCATATCATTTTTAGTTGAGGTCAAAACTTTTAAAGCCCTATTTCCCCAATTAAAAGCAGGGGATTCTTTCATCATATGTCTCTTTCACTTGTACCCAGATTAATATACACCCAGTTTGGAGATAATACTTCTTTCCAAACTTAACTTCATTTTAGCAGCATATATGGAGTACCAATACTTTTCAACATTTTATCTGATCCGGTAGGTCTATAAATAACTGGAGGGAAGTGAGGGGGCCTGGGTTTGTAGGATCCTCTCAGAAACTTCTCTTGGATTCTTCTTTCAGTATTTCTCTATCATATAAGCTTTGTTTTAAAAAGCCAACACTGCTGAGGCCAGGTATGCCCTTCAGGGTGCTGCCCGCAGTGCTCGAGTCCCATTCAACTCTAAGCTTGGAGCAAGCCAGTGACCATGACACAGAAGTTCTCCACACCGGCAAGATGACTAACATTTGTTTTAGGTTATGTTTGACTCAAGACTAGTAAAGTCTGCCTGAAAAATTAAGTTAAAGCAGAATACAGATGAATGTAGAGAACAGGAACAAGAGACAAAGGGAGAATGTGTATAGTAAGGTCTATACAATGAGATCCAAGGACACCAGGATGTTATGTCTGACTTAATTTGTTAAAAAGGAATTTTTCAGTTCTGGGTTACTTAAGCCTTTATTTTCCCAGAATCACTCCTCAGCTCAGTCACTTTTCATTCTCCTACAATGCCATGATGCAGTGCTTTAAGAATTAGCCCTAAGAGCTATTTTCTTAATTTTTAAATTTTGATTCTGAAACTCACTCAGGCAAAAAAAAACTAAAAAAATTTTTTGCCTTTACTCATTTTCAAAATATGCCCAACTGTCTCCTGCAGAAAATAAACTCTCCCTTTAACCAGTGTAACAGTAGGGTGACAGGGCTTCTCAGGACCATGGGCTCTATCAGCCGTATGGGGGGGACAGTGCTGAGAGAGTCACCAACCAGTTGCTCTCACTCACTGCCATACCAGCTGGCAGGCTCCCAATTCATATCTGGCTGAGAGATTACTTCAGAACTTGGGAAACTGGCACCCTCTGCACATTACCAGATCAGAAAGATATGAAGGTCACCACACCTAAACCTAGTGTCACTGGAGCCAGAACCAATTCAGAGGCCTCTGGCCTGAGAGGAACTGATGGGATTTCTTTTCCTGCCTTCTACTGACATACCTGTATGGAGTAAAAATTTTAATACATGAACACAAGACAACTATATTTCAATATTGTTATTACAAGAAATATGAGGACCACAAAACCCCCAGGTAACAACCAAGATTTTGAATCCTAAGTGGCCCACTTATTTAATGGGTAGTAGAAAGAAACAAAATTCTAGTTTAACAGAAGACAATGCAGATCCTGAGAGTTGGTTATACTAGGATCTGGCCTGGATTTTTTAAATGACACATCATTCAGAAAGTGGCCAAAACCATAAAGGGTTGTCCACAAAAGCCTTTTGCTGTAGAAGGTGGCCTTGAGTCGCTAAAGCAGTATTTATTCTCAGCAGTGAACCACCAAAATACTTAGCAATTTGCATTTCCAGAAAAACAACTCCATACCCTTCTGCTTCACACCTAGGACCTGAGAGGTCTACTTACTTGAAGACAACTGTCTCATAAGCTTTGCATGAGAAAGTCGGGAGGTAGCTCAACTGACCCGTGGGTGCCCTTTCAGTGTGGCTGGGTTCATCTTAGCAGTCACGGTATCTCTCAAGCATCAGATTTGGCCTCCTTCAGTGCTGAATGCTTGACTTGCATTTATCTGTAATGGAAGAGCCACATATACTTGGAAAGAATGTTTTACTCTGAACGCCGAGTGGACTGAATAGCTACTTTTCATTCCACAAATGGAAAACACTGACCCCACTTCATCATCAAATACTTTTAAAAAAGAGGCAGAACAACAAAATGATCCTGTAAGCCCTCAGGACAGCAAAGTGACACTTTTCACAGTTGAGAACACCAAAGTACTTTCTTGCTTCTTGGCCTCACAAATGTTTGACCTGAGGGAATCTTTTAGATACATCAAATGAGCTAGAATGAATATGTATGTAGAGCAGTGTTTAGTGTAATGATGTGCACAGGGTTGGCCACATTAATGTAAGATTATAGAGGAATACACCAAAGAAACCCTTGGAAATCATTTATCAAGAGCCTGATTGTCCTCTGCTGTCTCTTTAAGACCAATAAAAACACACAAAAAAATTTAATTAAAGAAAAATGTAGGCATAAAAATCTTCCAAGGATGAAAGACAGTTTTCCCTGGTTCTACTCCCACCTTCAAAGCTATTTGCTCTGCAAAAGAAAACATGACAGCAGGGCCAGGTCCAGTGGGAAACCTATAGGAATGTGCCAATTCAGCCTAATCTGTGGTACCAAACTAAAACAAGAAAGTAGACCTTTTCAATCCTGCCCTTCTTACAATGTTGAGCCACATTTTCTTTAGTCCAAGTTAAAACAAGCAGTAACAGTGACCTGAACCTGTGCTGGGCTACAGAGACTTGCTGGCAGCCCTAGTCTCTGAGGTGGGTCAGGTCTCACAGCCTTTGAAAGGGGCATTTACCCAGTGAGTTTTGCAGTAGGAAAAGGTCAGGTGTAGGGTCTGAGGAAGGTTAATAGGGTCTGAGGAAGGTTATCAAGGCAAAAATGTGAAATGAAAAGGAAGAGGGTTCTTATGGGGCTTTGGGTATGATATAAAGAACAAAGACTGTCATATACAGAAAACCCATGCAGGAGCAGCTGCCCCTGTAAGAAGGCAGCTGTCAAGCCAGGCAGCAGTCTGCACAAGTCTATCCCTTGGAGAGCCAAGGGAGCAGGGCAAGGCCTGTCCACTCAACAAGGACCCTGAGAATTTACTTTTCCTTCATTTTGGGTAAAAACTTCCTGTAATGGTTCTTCCTGCAGCTCCTCCAAACAGGTCCTTGGTGGGCCCCCACAGGCAGAAAAAAATACATCTAGCTAGGAGGCTTCCATTAACCTTCCTCTCCTGTGTGTATATACATATGTAATTATTTTTCTTATAGTAAATTCCATGAACGCATAAAGCTCTCATCTGCAATCAAATGCAAAAGCAGAGCACCCTGCTCAGAGGCTCTGAAACACACATAGTAGCCTCAAAGCACATCAGCCTTCCAGTCTCAGGTAAGACTGGTCCAGTCCAGAAAGGCAAGGAGATGCTTCTCTTGAATCCTGGGAGGCAGGAAGGGGTCCCTTCAGATGGGCTTATACAGCAGAGTAGTGACGTACTTCTTCTTGTAGCGATGGGTTGCACTAAGAACCATCACGCTGTCCTGTAGGGAAAGAAACATGCAGCTGACTCATCAGTTCAGGTGGCAGGCAGCTCTTCCAGCCATTAGTCCCTTCATAGTTGCTCACTTTTACTAGAGATAGTGTGATTTTATAGAAAGAGATTGGTTTTTGAGTCAAAGCAACTTATGTTCCAATCCTGACTCTTATCGTTACTCTACTTGTGGCCTGAGTAATATATGTAATGTCCCTCCGTCCTTTTTCTCATTGTGACAAAGGATAACACCTACCATTAAAGTGTCTCTGATGACTACATGAGAATATCTGGCATAGCTTCTGACATGTAACAGATACTGAAGAAATATTGGTTTCCATCCTATCCTCTTCCCCACTTCAAATTCAAATATTAGGCTTAAAACTAGCATAGAAAAAAGGGAAGAAATATCTTGGCATCTATTTGTAGAAGGAAGTCTTAAATGCAATGAGAAGGGAGTGAACCTTTTGAAAAACCACTTTTAAGCCCTGAAGCAGGTCTAATTTCCATTCAATACCAGAGATGAACCTGAGAATTCTTCTCTGATCAAGAGGAGACTCAGGAATCCCCCTCTATCCTTGAATAAAGGGGACTCCAAAATCCTCCTTGCAAAGACACTCAATCCAATGGATTGATTCCAAACAGCCTAGACAAGGAGGGAACCCAGACATGGATCCAGGCTATGCTGAACCACAGTAACCAAGACCTTGACCTGGGTCGTAACCAGCATGAAGACTTATGTGGTACCATTTTCCAGGCTGCGTTATAGACCACTGGCATAGCCTATGAGGAGATAACAGGCCTGCAGACATCAACTGGCAGCCACCGAGCAGCTTCAGGAGGCAACAACGTTCAGTCAGATCCCAAAGGACCCAAAAAAATCCAGTTAAAAAACCTTCCGGTGCATCTTCCTATTTTCCCCTACACTGTATTATTCACAATGCATGCCCCTTAGATTAACATTCTGTGATCAGAGTATGCTGATCAGAGTCTAAACGTGACAGAAGCAAGGCAGGTAGAAAAAAACTCAACTCCAGGAAGAGTTCGGTAGACATGAGGAGCAGGTGACAGAAAGACCTACTTAGAAAGACCTGGCACAGTGGTCTCTAGGGAAGAACATGGAAGCAGGACAGAACTGGACCTCAATCCTCTCTCTCTGGTATTACTGGCAATTTGACCTTCTCTGAGCCTTAGTTTCTTTATCTATAAAACAGGAATTAAAAATACTTACCTCACAAAGTTATATTAAAAGTCAATTCAGTACTATATATCTTAAAAGTTTCACGTAATTTGTTAGGGACAGCTATATCAGTGGTTTCCCTAATCTGGCTAAGAAATATAAGCAGCATTAAAAAAAATTACTGCTGCCCATCCTAGATGCACTAATTCAGAATCCCTGAAGATGGAGCCTTTGAATCTGTATTTTTACAAATTTCCCCAGGTGATTCAGATGATCAGCCTAGTTGGTAACTACAGAGCTATACAAAACTTTATTCTAATAGCTAAATCATAAAGGCATGACAGGACTGAATGGGAGTCTTCAAAGCAGCAGAGAAACCAGGAAGGACTCTAGAATTGGAGGGGACAGGGCAGATCTGGTCATATTTCTTTACCTAGTGTATAGAAGAGATGCGACCACTTGGGTATAAACCCGAAAGCAGCTTGCTTCTATTTTTGAAAGGGGAAACCTTAATATCACATTCCAGCATTCTTTGAACTGGAAGCTAAACTTGCTTTTTCTTCAAAATGAAATTCAGTGCTAGGAACTCAAACTTAATTAAGTAGGCGGTACAAAGGTTATAGCTACCCCAAAAGAAACCAGGAAGCAAAAAAGTCCAGTCAATCCCAGGGCAATGCAGCTAGCCAGAACACAGATACAGAGACTAAGATTTAAAACAAATGAACTACCAAAAAACCCACCCACTAGTTAAAGAAAGTTCTCCTATAATTTGACCATTACTGCCACCTTCAGTTTCAAAGTAGCAAAGCCAGTGAACCACCAGAGAACATGTGTTACCCTTCCCCTCCCATTTTGGGGAGCTCTGGAAAGAGCCAGGTCCACCACTTACCTTAATGGACAGTGCATAGAGATGGTTCAGCATAACATGATTGGGCTCTGGGAGCAAGGCTGGGTCACACTAAGAAAAAAAAATCACTAAATGAGGTTAAATGCACAGTCTTACACCAAGCAGTTTCCACTTCCTCAGAACCCTTTGGGAGTTGAAAAGCTCTAAACTAGAATATATATTTATTCAATAATGCACTTACCCTAGTATATATCGATAATACATTCTCATTGCAGAAAATAAGGAAAATTCTCGGTACGGGGCAGAAACCATAAGCCTCAGCATCTATTTATCTTTCTTAAGCTAAAACAAAAACCTTGCCCATAACACATATAGAAGATTTGCGCTAAGAGGCAAATATGATCTTAGTGGGAATCAAATGAATGGACCAGAGATGTAAATTATATGTAACGCTCACCCATCTCCACCTTATACGTCTTTTTTATTTCCCCCAAATGATAAATACTCTGTATCCTGTGTTGTAATAGAAGCTCTAGGAATTGCTTCTAGCAATTCATAGCTCTGGGCCTGACTTATTAGGGCCAGAAGACAACTAGGAATTTTGATTAACAGTACCTGGAAAAGTCACAATTCAGCCCTGAAAAAAGGAACCTGTAGCTATTGCTATGTATATGATTTATACTCCCAACACACCTTTGTAATAATCCCAACCTTAGGATTACTAAACGTTGGGTCAAATGATCCTAGTGACCCCCAGATGCCCCAGTGATACTCTCGGGATACTACTCACAGAAATATTAGTGTCCTTGTTAAGAATAACTTGAAGAAGGTGAGGAGGCAGGATAGGTGGAGATTTGAATCTCTCCTCAGATCGAAACACATACATTTCTTGACCATAAGGCCCTGGAGGTGAGCTGGAAAGGTCTGGAAGATATTTATCCAAATATAAGGGGAAGCTGGATAACTAGTAAAAATACATGAAGAAACTGTCAATACATGTCAGCCAATATTAAATATGACAGAAGTCATGGACAATAAACTTGTGACCTGCTGGGGCAATTAAGAAACAGTCTAGACTCAAGACTAGAGTTATCCTGAACATAAACCATGAAATTCCTCAATATGGCAACAAGACACAGAAGATACACATAGAGGAGATGAGGGGTAAAAGACACTGGTTCAGGGGAGAGCCATTCCACTGATCAGCTGTATGACTTGGGAGAAATCCCTCTCCTGTGGTCAGTTACCTCATTTACAAAATGAAAATAATAATCCGTGCTCTATTGCACAATGTATTTATAGGAATTAAAAGAGATAACAGATGTGACAATGCCTTATAAACCGTCAAATATGAAAAGATTAGATTTCTTCTTTTTTCCATCCAAGCATCAGACAAGGTTATAAACTCTAAGACTACTGATTCTACAATGACTGCAACAATGAGAACAAAACTACTAACAATGTAGTAGTCTCTAGAGAAATGCAACTCAAAACCACAATTAGATACCACTTCACACTCATTAAGAAGGGTACAATAAAAAAAACAATAATAATGGTTGGCAAGGATATGAAGGAATTGGAACATTTTCCCACTGCTGGGGAAAATGTAAAAAGTACAACTATTTTGGAGAACAGTTTGGCAGTTCCTCCAAAAAAACTTAAAGTTACCATATGACCCAGCAGTTATACTTCTGATGTATATCCTAGAGAAATAAAAACATGTCCACACAAAAACTTGAACACAAATGTTTGTAACAGTTTTAATTAAAATAGACAAAAAGTAGAAACAATCCAGTTGTCCATCGGCTAACAAATGGATAAACAAAATGTTATAGCCATACAATGAAATTTTATTCAGCCATAAAAAGTCATGAAGTACTGATACATTATCACAACATGGATGAACCTGAAAACATGCTAAGTGAAAGAAACCAGACACAAAGACCACATATTGTATGATCCTATTTACGTGAAATGTCCAAAACAGGCAAATCCATAGAGAAACAAGGTAGATATGTGGTTGTCAAGGGCAGAGAGGATGGGAAGTGACTGCTAATAGGTACAGGGCTTCTTTTGGGGGTGATAAAAATGCTCTGGAATTAGATAGTGGTGATGGTTGCCTAATTCTATGAACCTACTAAAATTACTGACATGTACACTTTAAAAGGATGAATTTTATGGTTATGTGAATTATATCTAAAACATGGGAAAAATGTATGCAGACAAGAATAGAAGATTTACAAAAATGAAGATAACTATAATTATTTTCTTAAAGCTTTCTAATAATATTTTTTAAAGTTCCTAGTCAAATAAGCTTTTACTAACAAGTTCAATGTAATAACCAGATTTCAGTTCAATGTATGTGAGGTGCAAGGGAAGCAATAATACTGTGATATTAAACAATTATCTTAAAAGTATATAGAACTTAAGACTTTTCTAAGTATTTTCATTTTGTCACATGATCTGCAAAATACCCTTAAAAGTACAAAGGACAGTTCTTATTTCCTTTTTATCAGGAAACAAAACAAAACGAAACAGAATTGGCTGATATGCCCAAAGTCACATTCCATGGCAAGGTGGTCACAGAGTGCATATTAAAATCCATTATCTGCAAATTCTTAATAAAATGTACTCTAAACCTTACTTCAATGGATTATGAAATCAGAAGAAAAAGGGAAGAAAGAAATATCCTTCTATATAATTGATTATATGTCTACTATCCATTAATTACTTTACCAGAATCATATAATGCAATTTAGAGTCATAAGTAGCCCACCACTTAATACAATATTTTAAAACCCTTTTTAATCACTGCCCTACCAACCAGTCAAGAATGTCCAACTTTACTTGCTGAGCTTACATAATAAAAACAATATTTTTAGTTTTTGCAAATAATAATACAATGGATTATTCTTTTAGAAACTGCATAAGCCATTCTGTGCCCTGAGATTCTAATATGCTTAAAGTATTGTGTCTCCTTAGCTGAGAATCACTAAGTGTCTACGCCTCTGATTTTACTGATAAGGAAGTGGGATCCCAAAGGGTTGAAGGACTTGTCCATGATGGCAAACCTAATTAGCAGGAAAGGCAGGCTCTGAGCCCACATGGGAGAAGTGGGCTCACTGGGAACCCAGTGCACCGTTCTCTAGGTAGTCATAGCTTTTATTACAAAGAAATAAAATGATAACTGTGAGGGTGGTTATGAGCAAATCACTCTTCCGGTGCTGTAGTAAATGTAAGCAGAGATCAAGGACCTGGAAAAAAATAATATTGGGAGAAACAAAAGGATATAGGTCTTCTCCTCTATCAGGAATTTTTTTTTTTTTTTTGCTCAAAACTTAAAACTTCAGTTAACATACACACAGAAGAATTGTGGGATTATTTTTTTGACCCTTTTTCCTCAAAGACTGCCATACTTGTAGGGCCCTTTAAAATACAGAACTGCCATCTGAGCTATCAGACTGGCAGGACTAAGCTAAAGTAGCTAAACAAGGCAAACCAGACTTGACCAGCCTCTGCTGGGTAACACCACCAAAAGTCCATGAAACACTTGAAATATTACTAGAAATAGCTTTTTATTTCTACCTATAGCCAATTAGTGGCTTATAAGAGGATAAAACAGAAAAGAGTACATCACATGTCAATAAAGCAAACATTGTGTTGTGAGACTTACGTTACCATGTGTGTTTGTGTGTTTACTGACTTACAATGTAAAATAAATGTCTTACTATGAATCTATTTAAAAAGTCTGATATCAAATACACAAATCTGAGATTTTTTTGTCTCAAAGAAGGGAACTAAATGTTTATATATATGTATGATATATATATATATTGATTGACAAAAACAATGAAAAAAAAAACCACTTTTGGGAAGGAACATGTATTATAAGAAAAACATCAACGAAGAGTAAACACTACAAAATTACCTCGACAAGATGTCTCCGAGCTTTCCATTGAATCTAGCTTTAAAGCATCAAACACCTCAAAATCAGATTTCTTGACATGGATCAAATTGTTAATTGTGCCAAGCTGACTGGTAACCACAGGCTGAAATAGTGAATGGGAAAAAAAATTAATGAATCTCCATTTAAAACCCATCTCTTCTATCCAGCTTTCCTCTTTTAAAAATGATCATACTTGGATTATTCCCAAAAAAGATGGCGGCGTGAGAGGTGAGACAGAGACCTCCTCCTAAAGCCACAAATAATACAAAAATATAATTAATACACCTAATTACGAAAGAGCAACAGGAAAGAAGGCTGCGCCAGACTGCATGCACCTGGAGGACAGAACAGACCTCATGGACAGGGTAATGTACCAGAGCCGTGACCCGGCGGGACCTGAGCCCTTTCCCCACCCCAGCTCACTGGCGGGAGGAAGAGAAACAGAGAGGGGAAGGAGTGGAGGTCTGAGAATGCTGAACACCTAGCACTGGAGATCTTCTCTGGGAGCATGAACCTACATTGCATGGTGCTCTGGTGATTAGCGGGGTTGGAAAGCTAAGACAGGCACAATACCTGGAGAGACTGAGATTCCAGCTGCTTTTAGAAAACAGGGAGCCATATCTGGCTGATCTGGGCAGGCAGTCTGAGAGACATCCTAAAAGTAAGAGGGCTGCTAAAGGGGCAAAGGACTGCACAGAGCTTACTGCTCAGAAGAAAAGCACAGGTAAACAAAATTGTCTGGGTGCACTGTCCAGGAGGTTGAGAACTTTCACAATTTTCAGGTGCTCCATCTCCCTGGCTGGTGACACAGCTCCAAGGCCCCCCACTGTGATACGCAGCCTGCTACACCTTCCTCCCGGCCAGCCCTCACCTGGCTCGCAAACTGGCAGTCCCTGCCTGGGCATCAGGCTAGCCAGAGGGAAGCACCGCCTACAGCAGCTACAAACACAAAGCACAGAGGCTTACACCTGGGTGTTCGGCCTGCTGGTTCTGGCAGCAGAGACAAGCATAGTAGCTGGGAAGGAGGAAACAGCATTTTCTTCCCCCAGGCACCAGGACTGCTCCCCTGCAACACCTGACATTGCTCCAGAGACGGGGCAGCTCCAGAGAGTGGAATTCTGGGCACTAGAGGGCACCACATACAAATATGAAATGTCAAAGAAACCTGGCGCAAAGCTAAATCAACAACCCCAGAAAAAGAGTCAAGTCAGACTGAACTAATAAATCTTCCTGAAAGAGATTTCAAAATAAAAACCATAAATATGCTCCTGGAGGAACAGAAAAATATTGAAGAACTCAGGAATGAACTTAGGACAGAGATCCAATCATTGAGGAACAAAATGGAGGGTATTAAAAGCAGATTAAATACAGCAGAGAAAACGAAAAATAAAACAAATTAGAGAAGAGGAATACAAAGAAGCTGAGGCTCAGAGAGAAAAAAGGATCTCTAGGAATGAAAGAATATTGAGAGAAATGTGTGACCAATCCAAATGGAACAATATTCATATTAATAGGGGTGCCATAAGAAGAAGAGAGAGAAAAAGGGATAGAAAGTGTCTTTGAGGAAGTAATTGCAGAAAATTTCCCCAATCTGGGGAAGGAGATAGTCTCTCAGGACATGGAGGTGCAGAGATCTCCCAACACAAAGGACCCAAGGAGGACAACACCAAGACATGCAATAATTAAAATCGCAAAGATCAAGGATAAGGACAGACTAGTAAAAGCGGTCAGAGAGAGAAAAAAGGTCACACACAAAGGACACCTCTACCAACAGATTTCTTAGCAGAAACCTTACAGGCCAGAAGGGAGTGGCATGGTGTATTTCATGCAATGAAGCAGAAGGGCCTCGAACTAAGAACACTTTATCTGGTAAGATTATCATTTAAATTTGAAGGAGGGATTAAACAATTTCTAGATAAGCAAAAGCTGAGAGAATTTACCTCCCACAAACCATCTCTAAGGTGTATTTTGGAGGAACTGTGTTTGGATGGAAGTGTTCCTAAGGTTAAACACCTGTCACCAGAAGTAATAAAAAGGGATAGACAAAGAGTACAGAATATGATACCTAATATATAAAGAATGGAGGGGGAGGAAAAGGAGGGGAAAAAAACCTTTAGATTGTGTCACATAGCATACTAAGTGAGTTAAGTTAGACTCTTAGGTAGTAAGGAATTTATCCTTGACCCTTTTGTAACCACAAATCTAAAGTCTGCAATGGCAATAAGTACATACCTACCGATAATCATCTTGAATGTAAATGGTCTGAATGCACCAATCAAAAGACATAGAGTCACTGAATGGATAAAAAAACAAGACCCATCTATATGCTGCCTACAAGAAACTCACTTCAAACCCAAAGACATACACAGACTAAAAGTGAAGGGATGGAAAAGATACTTCATGCAACTAATAGGGAGGAAAAAAGCAGATGTTGCAGTACTTGTATCATACAAAATAGACTTAAAACAAAGAGTCACAAGAGACAAAGAAGAACATTACATAATGATAAAGGGGTCAATCCAACAGGAGGATATAACCATTACAAATATCTATGTACCCAACACAGGGGCACCTACATATGTGAAACAAATACTAACAGAATTAAAAGGGGAAACAGAATGAAATGCATTCACTCTAGGAGACTTCAACACACCACTCACTCCAAAGGACAGATCAACCAGAAAGAAAATAAGTAAGGACACAGAGGCACTGAACAACATATTAGAACAGATGGACCTAGCAGACATCTACAGAACTCTACACCCAAAAGCAGGATACACATTCTTCTCAAGTGCACATAGAACATTTTCAAGAATAGATCATATAGTAAGCCATAAAATCAGCCTCAGTAAATTCAAAAAGATTGAAATTGTACAAACCATCTTCTCAGATCACAAAGGTATGAAACTAGAAATAAATTACTCAAAGAAAATGAAAAATCCCATAAACACATGGAGGCTTAACATGCTCCTAAATAACCAATGGATCAATGACCAAATAAAAAGAGATCAAGCAATATATGGAGACAAATGACAACAATAATTCAACACCACAAAATCTGTGGGATGCAGCAAAGGCCGTGCTTAGAGGGAAGTATATTGCAATGCAGGCCTACCTCAGGAAGGAACAATCCCATATGAACAGTCTAAATTCACAATTAATGAAACTAGAAAAAGAACAATAAATGAGGCCCAAAGTCAGTACAAGGAGGGACATAATGAAGATTAGTGCATAAATAAATATAATCGAGAAGAATAAAATAGAAAGAATCAATGAAAACAGAAACTGGTCCTTCGAGAAAGTAAACAAAATAGATAATTCCCTAGCCAGACTTACAAGAAAAAAAAATTCTACACACAAAAATAGAATCAAAAATGAGAATGGAAAAACCACAACAGACACCACAGAAATACAAAGAATTTTTAGAAAATACTATGAAAAATAATATGGTAACAAACTGGATAACCTAGAAGAAATAGACAACTTTCTAGAAAAATACAACCTTCCAAGGCTGACCCAGGATGAAACAGAAAATCTGAACAGACCAATTACTAGCAACGAAATTGAACTGGTAATCAAAAAACTACCTAAGAACAAAATCCCTGGACCAGATGGCTTCACCAATTTTATCAAACATTTAGTAAAGACCTAATACCCATTCTCCTTAAAGTTTTCCAAAAAGTAGAAGAGGAGGGAATACTCTCAAACTCATTCTATGAGGCCAACATCACCCTAATACCAAAACCAGTCAAAATCACTAGAAAAAAGAAAATTACAGACCAAACATCCCTGATGAAAATAGATGCAAAAATACTCAACAAAGTATTAGCAAACCAAATTCAAAAATACATAAAAAAGATTATCCATCATGATCAAGTAGGATTCATTCCAGGGGTGCAAGGATGGTACAATATTAGAAAATCCATCAACATCATCCATTACATCAACAAAAGGAACAACAAATAACACATGATCATCTCCATAGATGCAGAAAAAGCATTCAACAAAATTCAACATTCATTCATGATAAAAACTCTCAACAAAATGGGTATAGAGGTCAAATACCTCAACATAATAAAGGCCATATACGACAAAGCCACAGCCAACATTATACTTAACAGTGAGAAGCTGAAAAGTTTTCCTTTAAGATCGGGAACAAGACAAGGTTGCCCACTCTCCCCACTTAGTTCTGGAGGTCCTAGCCACAGCAATCAGACAACACAAAGAAATAAAAGGCATCCAGATTGGCAAGGAAGAAGTCAAACTGTCCCTGTTTGCAGATGACATGATATTGTACATAAAAAACCCTAAAGAGTCCACTCCAAAACTACCAGCTCTAATATCTGAATTAAGCAAAGTGGCGGGATACAAAATTAATACACAGAAACATGTTTATTCCTATACACTAACAATGAACTAGCAGAAAGAGAAATCAGGAAAACATTTCATTCACAATTGCATCAAAAAGAATAAAATACCTAGGAATAAACCTAACCAAGGAAGTGAAAGACCTATACTCTGAAAACTATAAGACACTCATGAGAGAAAATAAAGAAGATACCAATAAATAAATGGAAATACATCCCATGCTCGTGGATAGGAAGAATTAATATTGTCAAAATGGCCATCCTGTACAGATTCAATGCAATCCCAACAGCACTGAAATACCAATAGCATTCTTCAACAAACAAGAGAAAATAGTTTGAAAATCCATATGGAAACATGAAAGACCCTGAATAGCCAAAGCAATCTTGAGAAGGAAGAATAAAGCTGGGGCGATTACACTCCCCGACATCAAGCTCTACTACAAAGCCACAGTAATCAAGACAATTTGGTAGTGACACAAGAACAGACCCATAGACCAAAGGAATAGACTAGAAACCCCAAATATAAACCCAAGCATAATGGTCAATTAATATATGATAAACAAGGCATGGATATACAGCGGGGAAATTATAGCCCTTTCAACAACTGGTGTTGGCAAAACTGGACAGCTATATGCAAGTGCATGAAACTGGATTATTGTCTATCCCCATACACAAAAGTAAACTTGAAATGGATCAAAGACCTTTATGTAAGTCATGAAACCATAAAACTCTTAGAAGACAACAAAGGCAAATATTTCCCGAATATAAACATGAGCAACATTTTCTGAATGCATCTCCTCAAGCAAGGGAAACAAAAGCAAAAAGGAATATATGGGACTATATCAAACTAAAAAGCTTCTGTATAACAAAGGACACCATCAACAGAACAGAAAGGCATCCCACAGTATGGGAGAATATATTTGTAAATGACATATCCGACAAGGGGTTAACATCCAAAATTTATAAAGAACTCACATGCCTTAACACCCGAAAAGCAAGTAACCCAATTAAAAAATGGGTGGAGGATCTGAACAGACAGTTCTTTAAAGAAGAAATTCAGATGGCCAACAAGCACATGAAAAGATGCTCCCACATCACTAATTATCAGGGAAATGCAAATAAAAACCACAATGAGATATCACCTCACACCAGTTAGAACGGCCAGTATGGAAAAGACTAAGAACCACAAATGCTGGCGAGGATGTGGAGAAAGGGAAACCCTCCTACACTGCTGGTGGGAATGTAAGCTAGTTTTAAGCATTGTGGAAAGCAATATGGAGGTTCAAAAAACTAAAAATAGAAATACCATTTGACCAGGGAATCCCACTCCTTGGAATTTACCCAAAGAATACAACTTCTCAGATTCAAAAAGAGATATGTACCCCAATGTTTATAGCAGCACTTTTTACAATAGCGAAGAAATGGAAGCAACCTAAGTGTCTATCAGTAGATGAATGGATAAAGAACATGTGGTACATACACACAATGGAATACTATTCAGCCATAAGAAAGAAACAAATTCTACCATTTGCAACAACATGGAGGATATTATGCTCAGTGAAATAAGCCAGGCAGAGAAAGACAAATGCCAAATGATTTCCCTCATTTGTAGAGTATAACAACGAAGCAAAACGGAAGGAACAAAACAGCAACAGACTCACAGACTCCAAAAGGGACTAGCGGTCACCAAAGGGGAGGGGTGGGAGAGGGCAGATGGAGAGGGAGGGAGAAGGGGACTGAAGGGTATTATGATTGGCACACATGGTTTGGGGGCATCATGGGAAGGACAGTGTAGCACAGAGAAGGCAAATAGTAACTCTGTGGCATCTTACTATACTGTTGGGCAATGAGTGCAATGGGGTTTGGGGGGGGACACAGTAAAATGGGTGAATGTAGTAACCACATTGCTCTTTCATGTGAAACCTTCATAAGAGTGTATAACAATAATATCTTAAAGAAAAAAAAAAGATCATACTTGGCACTTCCATCGTTATTCAAGACAGAAATCCTTCAGTGAAGGAGCCCATCAATTCTGACAGCAGTGACGTTTGGCACCAAGGGGAGTAATAGCTAAGAGGAGACTGTTAAGTCAATGGTTACCCTCAGAGATCAAGGCCTTACCTCTGATGGATCATGTACCCATTGTCCATCCACAAAGAACTTGTACTGGTGTTCTCCCTCAGGGAGATCGAGAATGGCAACAAAGTCATTATGGCTACAGAAGAAAACAGAAAGTTAAATAGGCCAAATTCCTATTAGAAGACAGATTATAAATGTAAAAACCATGAGGCAATCAAAATATCACACCAATCATATCCTAAATTCCTAAATAACTGTACCTAATGGAATGAAAAATAGTTTATAAACCCATTATCCTTTGCTGTATCACCTTGAACATGTATTTGCCAGTCCCTCCCAATAGCTTTAGTTCTCAACTAATAATATCTGGAAAAGAATAATAAATACGTTAATTCCCCAAAAGGGTTCCTGTTAGTACACCTTTTTTGCTTCAGCGGAACAGCTCCCTCACAAGTATAAATAAGAAAGCAGGTATGTTCAGATCCCAGAAGTAGCCTCAAGGTACCCTTTCCATATTTTGGTGAGCATTTCAGGAAAATTACCTACATACAAACAGCCATTCTGATAAACAGTTAAATAATTCATTATTGCTCTGCAAGCAACAAATAACATTACTACCTAGAACTTCACAATGTGTTTTATCATAAAAGTCAGAGCAACTGAACTCAGCCCACTACAGAAGACTTCCCACAAGCATAGGAAGGACAGTCCAAAAAATGTGCCCACAAAGCTTCAATAAATCCCTCTGGGGCAATGATATTCTAAGTGGTAAAGCATCTATGACTCAGCATGAGGTTAAAAACAATGTCCCAGTCACTGGTCACAGAAATGCTCTATAGAGACTTCCTAGCAGGTAGAGAGTAGACCAGCCAAGTCTCTCCTCTGAGAAAGGAAACCAGGTCTCTACTCCTGGACCCTTCAGACTCAACCAAGACACTGTCTTCACCTCTTAATCAGTGGAATCTTGGTGCTCCAATTGTTGAAGGACCCAGAGATGAAGACCTCCTTGCCTCCTTCAGACCAGCGGATAACAGTGGGCCGGGCCTGCTGTGTGGGCTTTACGGAGTCGTCCAAATCCTGCTGCCATGATACAAACTCTTTGTCCCCAGGGAGCTGTAAGAAGGATTAGGTCATCCCTAAATTGTGACCCATGAATTCTTTAAAAGGTCACTCTCCTCCCTAAGGCAGGGAGTGATGGTAGGATTCTGCTAAGGATCAATAAACCCTGAAATTAGCAACTTTCAAGTTTTGAACAGACTAGAAAAAGAACTCATCTAGGACCGGAATGGTGAAAAGGCTTATGCTCAAGGGCTGCCCAAATCACAGCCTAACTTTTGAGTCTGCATATATCACTCACCCCTTTCTGAGCCTTAGGATCTCCCTTAAAAAAAAAAAAAAAAAAAAAGTTTACTGTTACCAGATTAACTCACAAGCGGGCAGTGATGATCTACGTTTGAGTGCCTCTTAAGAGAAAAAAATATGAAAACAAAGTATAGCTCTATAAGAAGTAAGTTAGCCATGTATTTTCCACATGCAAATATGAACTACTCTCAATTACAAGTTATAATGAAAGTTAGAGATCCTGAAATTCATAAATAATTCATTAACAGCATTTTAGCTAATAGGTTATAAAAAGACATTAGAAGTATAAAAATCAGATCAATGGTTTCTTAAATTCTAAGACATGGTTATGCAATTTTACTTGCTTACCTATGCCAGGTTTATAGTAATTATTGCAGGAGTAAGGATGAAAATTCTGGAGTCTCAAGGACCATCAGATCAAAAAACACAGGTTCCTTTAAGAAAAACAGCTCCAATATGAAATGAGGTCTGTAGGACTCTGCAAAAAACTGACTCCTTTTTTACTGTTTTGTCATTACCATCCTTTAGAACAGGAGTTGGCTAACTATGGCCAGTAAACCAGATGCTTTCATAAAGTTTTAATGGAAAAATAGCCACAGTCATTTGCTGATCCCCACTTTAGATTGGCTTAAATGACTTTAGTAAATAAACAGGACTGTACAGTATCAAGTCAAAATATCACCAACAAAAATAATGTGGATTAAAAAAAAAAGGGGGCTAGCTTATTCATTTGGGCTTAATTTTCAAAATGGCTGAGGTAGTCTACCTTCCATACTCTCTCAATATTCCTCAAAACTACACTAAAGAAACACCAGTAGCAGCACAATCTGAAGTAAACAGAGAAAGAAAATAGAAGGGACTTTTCACATTATATAAGGAAGTGGCTTAAGAGAAAACCAGTCTCCATACTCTTAAAGCACTCTTGCCTCACTGGTTGCATTAGAATGACAGAAATTTGTACTATACCTAAGAATAACCCTCAGATTCTAATTTAGATATAGGGCCTGGAAATCTATTTTTAAAAAGCTTCCCAGATAATAATACTGTGATTTTGTTTAAATAAAGAAAAACAACCTTCATTTTGAAAGACATCCTAAAATATTTACAGATAATATAATATTTAGTATGATGTCTAGAATTTGCTTCAAAATATCTGGTTGGGGAGAGGGAATTGAGGTACAGGTAATATAAATTCGGTCATAATTTGATCACTGTTTAAACTGAGTGACAGGTATATAGGAGTTCATTACACTGTTCTTTCCACTTTGGACCTTGGAAAAGGTTTCAATTACTCCATAAAGTGTTTAAACAAATCTCTGGTAACTCTAACATGGATTTAGATTCACTGGACTAGTACACTGAAGAAGGCTACCATTAAAAGGAATATAGGCCCCATTGCTACTATTTCTATCAGTTACTTTTATGATTTAGTATTTTCAGTTTAGAATTTGAAAGCTACAAACTATTAATATGCCTAGCTTTGGAAGAAAGCCCTTCTGTGTATGACATGACATTTCTGTGGTAGGCATGAGTGTAGCTGACCAGCAGCAAGATTTAACTTGTTTATTCCAAGTTAAATAGTAGCAGAATCATCAGGAAAATAGGCAAAACAATTCAAACTATAGTTTGAAAATGTTTAAGCAAAACATTGAGAGAAGAGGATAGATTAAGAACTATAAAATTTTACATTTGGAAAAGAGACCTTAGGAATTATCTGAACCAATTTTATTATCTCACAAATGGCAAGACTGAGGTAAGGACAAGAAAGATTTAAAATAGGTTCTACTTCAGATAGAACAACCTGGCTTTTATTCAGGACACCAATTACTGCAGTCACGGGTTGACAAATACACTGTACTTAGGACATAGGAAATGGGTAAAATGAGGTAGATCGCCTTGAGAAAGTTTGGAGAAGTAAATTTAGATGGCTTGGGTAGACAGCCCAAATGATAAGGAAGAAGTCCTGAAGTGGGAGAAAGAAGACAGGAACAGAGAAAACACCCCAAGAAATGGTCCTTTCAAACACCCTCACTTTTCTTTCTGTAATTATGTTCTCAATTGGGATCCAAGGAAATTAACAAACAGTAGAATCCAAATTTCATGTGCTACCTACCAATGGGGAAATCTCAGTCCCTCCATTTTTTTCTTCATCCCAGGCAGACTACCTAGAGGAACTAATGTACTTAATGTATTTAATGCTGACAGCTCTGAAAGTGCTTAGAAACATTCGGATGGAAATCACATTGCTGTCAGCTTCCATCTGTCCTTTCTGTAGAGTGAACACAAGTTGCTACTTTCCTGAAATTCCTTCAGGCGAGCAAGGTCTCCAGGGCGGCCATGAGTTATCTGTTCTCAGTCAGGGTGGCATTACGAAGTGAGGGAACCCTAGAATCACTCGCTCTTCCACCTGAGAGCAGCTGAGCATTTAAGAAGCACCACCTCAGCCGCTACAAACATAACGTAAGGGCTGAAAGCTTGAGCAGTCAACCCAATTATGTTCTTATTCATCCCCAAAACTAGGAGAAAGTATTCAAATAAGCAAGTGGTTGCTATTCACAGCCATGCCAAAAGGTAAAAGTACTAGAAGGACTGAGTTCTTAGAAGGGCAAAAATGATTCTGATACACATAAGTTGTCAGGAAAAAGAAATCCATTAACTCATCTCAAACAGAAACTGACGCCTACGGTTAGCAACTCAGGCAACAACCTCTCCGCCGGAGTTTTCCAGGGCTTACAACCTATAAATTCACCAATACTCTAGAGGGCAGCCATGCCCGTTAGATGCAAGGATTGGGGGGAGGGGTGGGGGAGGGGGGTGGTCTACCGGCTTCATCCTAAAAATGTGGCCAACAGATTAGTCGAAAAACAAGTACCCCGACTCTATCCTACGTTGAGACAGCACGGCAAGAGGAATTACCACGCAACACCTCCGTCCCCGAAAAACCCATGTAATTCAAAAACCTTAACCCGAGTCAGTGTGGTAAGAAAGGGAAGTGGAGCCCTAACATCCAGCCTGCCGCGGCACCGCCAAGTTGGGGCTTGGGAAGACTCACCTTGGAGTCCGGCAGGCTGAAGACACTGGGGTCGTCGGTGCTCCCCACCATGATCTTGTGCTCCTTGACCGTAGCATGGCCGCCGGCGCCCTCGGCGCGGGCAGCCTTAGTGCCGTGGCGCTCTCCGGCCACCCGCTCGCTGGTGGTGTTTCCCATCGCTGCAGCTTTCGAGCCGCCGGCCACCTGCCGTGGGGAAAGACACCCGGCTAGGGTACGCGGGAGGCCACCCCCGGGCCCGCCCCTGCGCCTTGGGAAGCGGGCAGGGGAATCTCCGCCCGAGGGAAGCTGTGCGGGGGTGGAGGGTGTCCCCCGGCCTCCCGAGCGGCCCGAACCCCCCCCACACCTCCTGTGCCCGAAGCTCAGAAAAGCCGTTTTGGGGAACTCCCCCGCATCCCGGCGCTCCCGCCTGCCCAGGGACACCCCAAACCCCAATCACCTCCCGGGATGCTCTCCTCTCTTCCCCGGCCACTGGTGCGACGGCGGTTCTGCGGTAAGGCGCCCAATAAAGTTATTGTAATCGAAGCCCCGCCCCGGGCTAGCGATCCGGGTTTCCTCCTAAAATGGCTGCAAGGACAGTGGCGCGAGGCCCGCCCCGCGCGCGTTCCCAGCGGCGGGCGCCGGGGCGGCTTCCTGGGTTCTCTGGCCTCTCTAGCCACCGTCGTCTCAATGGTGGGTAGCCACGCGCAGCCTCCCGCGCCAGGCGGGGGCGCCCCTCCCCAGAGAGCCGCGCAGGCCCCAGGCCGCCTGGTTGGTGAGACTGCCCAGGACCTCTGCGCGTTGGGCACCGGGGCCTGCCACGCGCAGGGCACGGACCCACCACGACTCCTGGGGCCGCCTGCCTGAGCTCTGGTGCTCGGTACCCGGAGGGGAGGCGCTGCTCCCTTCCCGGCCCCTTCACCTGGCCGCTGCTTCTCCGAAACGTTTTCTGTCGAGCGTCTCGGTCGCAGGCGACCTGAAGAGGGGGCTTCCTATAGGGAATAGGAAAGGAACTTCGGCTGAAGAAACTAGCGGTAACTTCTCGAGGTTAAAACTGACTGCTGTGGAGAGCACTCCGCCGACTGGAGCCCCAGGGAAGAAGGGGCGACTAAGAGATAAACCTTGACAAGTTAGTGAAATGTTAGTCTGAAGAGAAGAAAGTGAAAGCTATTATGCAGTGAGCAACAACGAAAACGTCACAGGGAACACCGAAGCCAGAAAAGGGCAAAGGTAGCCCTCAGGTTGGAACAGATCCAGGTTTTTACGGATGGAAGTTTTGTGGTATTTACTAGTTCTTACTCTGTAGTATAATAATATACTTAATCTGATTGCGAACTAGAAACCTTTGTCACTCAGCTGTTTTACACAGACCAGCAGCGTTGTTCCACCAGAGAGCCTGTTTAGAACTGTATAACCTGAGGCTCCATCCTACAGAATCAGACTGCATTTTAACAAGATCCTCAGGGGAATGTATACACGTATTAAAGTGTGGGAAGCACTGCTTTGACAACTGGCAGAGAGCAAATCTAGATTTGATTCTTCTTCATGTCCTGTGTTCATCTTGTACAGAGTAAGTTTTTAATGAACATTTGGGAAATGAAAGTTAGGTGAGTATTGCTTACTACATTTCTACAAGATAATGCCAACTTAGGCTTAAACACAGCCAATGATGTGGAGCCCCAGGTCCCACAAGGCTGCTCGTTCTGAATGAACACCTCTATTTGTTGAAAAGTTCATTTTTATATAAAGTTCAAAACCAACCCGTTTAAGTTTAACAAAGCCTTTGTTCTTCCCCTAATGAACTCAGTTATTCTCTGGCTCTTAACCAAAAACAGTACAGAAAAAAGGTACATTTTAACTGCAATGTTTTGTTTTACATTTTTTTAAAGGTATTGATATACACGCTTATGAAGGTTTCACAAGAAAAACAATGTGATTGCTGCATTCGCCTGTATTACCAAGTCCCCCCCATACCCCATTGCAGTCACTGTCCATCAGTGTAGCAAGATGCCACTGAGTCACTACTTGTCTTCTTGTTGCTACACTGTCTTCCCCATGACCCTGCCCCCTGGACACACCATGTAAACTAATCATAATACCCCTCAATCGCCTTCTCCCATCCTCCCCACCCGCCATCCCGCACCCCTCCCCTTTGGTAACTTGCTCGTCCCTTCTTGGAGTCTATAAGTCTTAACTGCAATCTTTTGTTCTCCCCTCTGAAATCTTGACTTGTCTGGTTACCTTCTATTTGGTTACCTCCCACACCCTGCCGCCCCAGTTCCTTTCATCCTTTCCGTAGGACTCCGAAGCAAGATCAGTGCATTAAGCCTCATGTTCTATTCAGCTTTCTAACTTCAAGGTGGTTTCTCCAGCCAGATATTATGCCCCTGGTATGTATTTCCTTACAATAGTCAAGTCAGCATAGGAGAAGCAAACCAATTATTATATATTAGCCAATGGAAAGCTTAAGGAGAGAAATAAACAGTTTTTGTAAAGCTAAATAGAAATGATTTTTGGATTATCTCTGGGGGGATTATCCATGACATTGCTCTGCTCTGATAGCATTTGCAAGTCACTCAACAGTTAACTAAAAATCAACTCGGTATATTGCATGTTTTAGACGTAAGACAAAAGTAACTTGACACTGTCGGAAGGATTAATTGCTTCTCCCTAGTCCCAATTTTGTTTGTTTTCTAGACTCAAGAATGAGGTAAAGAAACAAGATCTCTTAACCTGTGTAATTTGTCCTTTGGTCTTACTGCTGTTGCCCCAACGATCTAGCTGACCTTACAGAGAAGGCAGGAAAAGAAAGAAAAGGAAAAGGAATTTGATGGTCATTCTCTTGATTTACCAGTATCTCGTATGTCACTGCCCCTGGTCTTCTCAGATCAGCCATTCTGCCTGATAAACAGAGGAACATACAGAGAGCATGGGAGGCCTCACAGCATAGTAAGCTTTTTTTGATATACACTGCTAACATGCCCTACTGCCTCCGAGAGGTGAAGATGTGTGAATGGGGGAAGAGTAAAATGATTTTACAGACTGGATGACGGATTGGGCATCTGGAGGTTTCCATTTCCATCCCCACCTCCTGGTTGCCATCCTCATTTGTGATCAGGGATGGTTAGGACATCTCGGTGCTTTCCACTTCAAAAAACAATCCAATCTTTTTAAACAAGTTAAAACACATAGTATGCAGTTTAGTAATCCTACTTGCAGGTATTTTTTCAAGTGAAATAAAGACAGATTCACACAAAAGCCTGTACACAAATGTTTATTTGTACAAAACGTGGCTTTATTCATATGTACCCCAAAATAGAAATAACACAAATATCCTTCACCTAGTGAATCAATAAACAAAATGTGGTACAGCCATAAATGGGCTACATTCAGCAATAAAAAGAATTAAAGTATACAACAACATGGATGAATCTCAAAGGTATTATGGGAAGTGAAAAGAGCCAGACTATTGATGTGACATTCTGGAAAAAGTAAGACTACAAAGGGGCAGGAGGGACTTTGGGGAAGTTATGGACATAATAGTCCTATTTCTTGATTGTAATGGTGTTACGTGTCTGCTAAAACTTACAGAACTGTGTGCTAAAAAGTGTGAGTTTAGTATGAAAGTTATTTCAATAATAAAACAATTCTATTTAAAAAATCATTTTTAGCAAGAGGAAAGATACAAGTTTATGCACAAGAGACTACTCAACCATTGCAGAAACTGATTATTTTTAAAAATAAGCACAACTTATTTTAATTTTGTCAAGCCCCAAGTATAGTTGAAAAAATTATATATATTTGAAGTGTACAACGTGATGGTTTGATATACATAAACATTGTGAAATGATTACCACAGTCAAGTTTATAGTTACCTTTGTGTGTATGTGTGTGGTGAGATTGCTTAAGATTTGCTCTCAGCAAATTCCAAATTAACAATACAGAACTATTAACTATAGTCACCATGCTGTACATTAGATCTTCAGAACTTACTCGTCTTATAACTGAAAGTTTATACCCTTTGATGAATATCTCTATGTTTCCCCCACCTTCCAGCCCCTGGCAACCACTATCCTACTCTCTGTTTCTCTGAGTTTGACTTTAAAAATATTCTACATATAAGTAATACCATACAGTATTTTTCTTTGATTTACTTCACTCAGTAGCATAATGCCCTCAAGGTCCATCTATGATGTCACAAATGGCAGGATTTTCTTATTTCTGATGGCTGAATGATACTCCATTCACATCTTCTTTATCCATTCATTTGGAGACAGACGCTTAGATAATTTCCATATCTTGGCTCTTGTGAATAATGCTGCAATGAACATGGAGTATGGCCATCTGAGATCCAGATTTCATTTCCTTTGACTATATACCCAGAGGTAGAATTACTGGATGATATAGTAGTTCTATTTTTAATTTTTTGAGGAACCTCTATGTTTTCCATAGTGGTTGTACAAATTTACATTCCCACTGTAGAGAAAATGGAAATTATGACCAGGATTCTTGCCTGGCCTTAATATTATTCATTGTGTACAGAATGAGCCTGTTGGTATATCTGTGGGCAGCAAGACGTTTACTGGGGCCAGCCAGAGCAGCTGGTCAGTCATGGATGTGTTGGGCCAGAGGAGAGGTGGAGAGGAAACACCCATTCTCTCCTCTCCTGAGTTCTTGGTATGTAGTTAGTCAGGAGTCCACCAGTCACCATAGAGACCTGTCCACAGAGTTCCTCCCAGTGCTGGGATGGGGAAGTAGAGAACAGAGAAGGGAATCCTGGATGGGGAGCCAGGGGAGAATGGAGGCTGGGGGAGGGAAGCTACAGAGCCCTGGTGCTGCTAAGCAAAAGCAGCTAAGGAGACTAAGCCACTGACAGAAGAGAGTGGAGGAGGAGGGCAGTGTGCTGGAGAAGCACAGAGCTTAGAGGGTAGGGAGAGGAAGCAGCAGGAGGGGAGAAAGTCCGAACTAGAGAGCAGGAGGGAGCAGCACCAGAGCCAGAAGAGACCGAGACCTACTGCTGTGTGAAGAATCATAGTATGAGCCCCCTTTGACACCCCAACTTGCCCTTGTCTTTATTTGGTCTCAACAAATTCATAGTGAACTTGTCCAGTTCGGGGTACCCGCTCCTCCTGAAGCAACACCCACCAACAGTGTACAAGGGTTCCCTATTCTGTACATCCTTGCCAACACTTGCTATATCTTGTCTTCTTGGTAATAGCTACTACCAAATGTGTGAGGTGATAGCTCATTGTTGTTTTGACTTGCATTTCACTCATGATTGGTGATGTTGAACATCTTTTCAGTGCCTGTTGTCCATTTGTATATCTTTGGAGAAATGTCTATTCATGTCTGTGATATTCTGATTAACAATGAGAAATATATATTTGGTCTTTGCCCCCCCCTTTCTGGAAGAGCTCCTAAAATTCTTGGAATTTCCTGAGTTTGTACTGAAGGTGTCTCTTGTTATGTTAATGAGGTGACTTTTCCACCAAACCAAAGGATGGGGCTGGTTGCCAGTGGAGCCAACCATGTGATTAGAGGGTAGAACTTTCAGTCTCACCCACCTGACACTGGGGCAAGAGAGGGCCTTGAGTGAATCAATTGCCAATGACTAGATTTAATGAATCATGCCTATGTAATGAAGCCTCCAAAAAACCAGAAAAGCACAGATTCAGAGAGCTTCCAAGCTGGCCCTTTGCCTTAAAAATCCTCAAGGTCCTTTGCCTATTTTTTAATTGGATTATTTTGTTTCTTGCTATTGAATTGCTTGGATGCCTTATATATTTTGGACATTAGCCTCTAACAGATTTATGGTTTGTAAATATTTTCTCCCATTCTATAGGTTGCCTTTTCATTTTATTGATAGTTTTCTTTGCTGTGCAGAAGCTTTTTAGTTTGATGTAGTCTAACTTGTTGATTTTTGCTTTTGATGTCAAGTCCAAAAAATCATCACTAACACCAATGTCAAAGAGTTTGTCCACTTTGTTTCCTTCTAGAAGTTTTATGGTTTCAGGTCTTTGAGTCAAATATTTAATCCATTTTGAGTTAAGTTTTTGTGAGTGGTATAAGATAAGGGTTGGGTTTTATTCCTTTTCATGTGAGTATTGTTTTTCCATCACCACTTATTGAAGACTTTCCTCCCCCCATTTTGTGTTCTTGGCACTCTTGTCAGAGATAGGTTGACTGTGTATGTGTGGGTTTATTTCTGGGCTCTACATACTCCCTCATTGGTCTGTGTCTCTTATGTTGGTACCATACTGTTTTGGTTAGTATAATTTGAAACCAGAAAATATAATAATTTTCAGGTTTGTTTTTCTTTCTCAGCACTTCTTTGGCTATTCAGAGTCTTTTGGGGTTTCTTATTTTTTATTTTTTAAATAGTTGCATATGACCTAAAAAGTGGTAGTGATGTTCTTACATTCTGCCCACTTAAAGAAAGAGGGACCTAATTCAAGGGTCCAGAATTTCTCCCACATATCATAATTCTGTCTTTCAGATCCCAGAGGGTTTCAAATGAATTCTATTATGTGAACCACAAAACTGCCCTGTGAGACTTACAGAACAGATGACCACATCTTATTTTATATATGAGGCTAACATTAAATATTTAGCTAGTATTTCCTGAAAGGACATCATATAGTCCACAAATTTAAAAAAATCCTTTGGAGGGCTTAGTACTTGCTGGGCCTATGCTAAGCAGCCACTGCTGTGGAGTTGCTCAAATTTTTTGAAATCTCCAAGGAAACCAGTATAAGTATAACCCCAAGTAAGTATGACCCAAAACCTGACATTTATAAATGCACAAGTATCTAAAATGACACTTAATAGCTAAACATTCACTTTGGTTTCTAATACCACTTTCTAATACAAGGAACCAGGACTCCTGAGAGAAATGACTGCTCCTAGGACTAGGTCAGGGAATATGCAACACGAGTCTGGAGCATCTTCTAGGGCCAGAAAGTGAAGAGTACTAAAAACAGAACAGTGGGGCTATGTCGAAGGGACACAGGAGCCAGTGCAACGGCTCCTAATGGCTAAAGCTAGAATAATTTGAGCAATGAAATGAATAATGCCGTATTGGATTAAATCCAAATTATAAAATAAATATCCATGAGTCCATACTGATATAAATAAAGGATTGAATAAACTGATAAATGGGGGGAGGGGGAGAATTCTTCCCATGCAAAAGAATACCAAAAATTTTATATAGATTCTCTGCTCTGAAGAAGATGGAACATAGCCCTTCACTCCTTACATGTGGACTGAGCATAGTAATTTCCTTCCAAAGAGTAGAGTATGGAAAGGGGGGAAAATTAAAAACTCTACAGTGGAGAAACTTGACAAGTACTACCTCAGCCAGGTGATGAAGGTTAACATCATTAGTGATAAGTTTTAATAGCATGTACCTTTGATATGTGATGAGAATAACACTTTGTGGTTTTCCTCCTGAAAACCTATAACCTGAGCCTAATTATGAGAAAAATATCAGACAATCACAAATTAAAGGATATCCTACAAAATATTTATCCAATACTTCTCAAAACTGTCAAGATCATCAAAAACAAGGAAAATCTGCAAAATGTAAAGGATCCTAATGATGAGGAGTAGTATGGTATCTGGAGTGCGATCCTGTGACAGGGAAAGAATATGAAGTATAGACTAAATAAATCAGAATAAAATATGAAGCTTAGTTCTTTTTAGAAGTTGTCCAGTGATTTTTTTTGTACCTTGCATAATATATGTAAAATGGAAGTCAATGAATTTAGAATTACATAATTTTTATTTAAAAAGGAAATTGGGGTACTTATTGCTGACAACTATGAATTATATTATCAAAGGAATATTAATTCAACAAACTTACATGTTAAGCAGAAAATGAAAAAGAAGCAAATGACCTTCAATTTACCTTTTTTTTTTTTTTGGTATCATCAATCTACAATTACATGAGGAACATTATGTTTACTAGACTCCCACCATCACAATTTACTTTTGAATCAGAATAATCTGCACATTAAAAGATACTAAATCCATTTTAATTGATTATAAGTCCCAGTATCACAAGGATTAGGAAAGGAAAAAGACCTAAGAAGTAATACCAATTCTCAAATTTTCAAAAGACATTATGCCACAGGCAAATTAGGCAGGGAATGTATAAATAATTGTATGATTAGGAAGAAACTCTAGTTCTCACATTTCTAGTTCTTTCATGTGTCTATATTGGGAAAGATAGTAATTTCTAATGCTGTTCAAATTTTATATTTTATTAAATAATAGGCAGCAATCCCAAAACATATTACACAATAGCCTATTTATAAACATACACCTGGCTTAACTATCCAGTACCTTTCTTTCTTTAGGAAATCTAGTTTCAAATTAATTAATTTCTCTGGGAGACAAGAATAGAGCAAAAATTCTACAGATGAGAAAACAGAGTCAACAGCTTTTCCCTGGGACATAAGCTGGAGACCCTGCTTTTCATTTCATTTGCTCTGTTTTTCAAGAACTACACTGTATGTTATAAGAAGAACTATTATAAACAGAATTTCCCTATATTTAATTATAATTTAGTACATAAGTGACTTCTTCAAATACATATTACTTTAGACTCTAAGTGTAGGCAGAAGGGGTGGGGGTAAAAAGTAGGAGTGGAAGAAGACAAATCACTTTTGTAGGCCATGCTACAAAAGTTAACAGCTAACAAAGTTAACAGCCACTTATCATATTTCCAAAGGTCAAGTCTTATTGGGTCCTAATATGGAAACAAAGAGGTCAAAAAAAGACGGGACAGCTAATTTAAAGTTCCATGTTTTTCAACCAAGTTGAACCTATTGGCAGATGCTAGATTATTAGGAAGATCCATGAGCCTAGAACATTGAAGACAGTTTCTTCATTGAGAAAATAAAGGCAAGGACAATGGGACAGCTAGAAATAGGTCACAATTACAGCAAAGAAAACAGCAGCCAGAATAAACCTGGCCATTGTTATTGTTGAAGTCATGGATTTATCACTTTCTTTTACATTTGTCATCAGTGGCTTCCTGATACGATATTCTGTAGTAAGGATAGCTTTTCGAGCTCCATCCCATTTTCCAGGGCCCTGTAGACGATACTGGATTGGAGTACAGGGTCCCCAAAATAACTTGAATGCCAATTTGGGGTCAGTGAAGGCCAGAGACAGCAAATTGGGTCTGACGCCCACCAGATCAGCAAGCTCTTCCATCGTCTCTACATAGTCTCCCTGAATGGTATGGCGTTGGCTTTCCACATACCTGAAGCAAAGAAAACAGAAATCGTGGCCTATCAGCAATTCAATCAATCAATCAATCAACTAATCAATGCTTTATGAGTGCCTGTTATTGTTCAGTATTGGACCAGGAGCTGTGGAAAATAGAGAAGAAAGAAAAGACATTGGCTCTATCCTTAAGTGCTTTATAATCTACTGGAAGATATAAGATAGATACACATGAAGCACAGAAGAATAGAAGAGTTTGGGTAAATTGTGGTTTTAGACTGCTAAATAAAAACATAGAAGAGGGTAGTTAAAATAGGGTTGTAATAAGTCCTTGAAGGATGTGGAAGATATAGATAAGCTGACAGCAAAAAGGGAAAGTATTACAAATCAGGGGACCAGGAGAATTAATGAATAAAGCAGGAATGAGTAAGAATATAAACACAGAATATCTGTAGGCACTACCTATAGTAGAGGAGGCAACTTGCAGAGAATGGGGATGGCTGCAGACAGGCAAACGTAGCAGATCCAGATTCAGAGGACTCTTGATATTATCAGGAGGAGAAAACTACCACAAACATTTTCAAGTTTGGGATCTTCAGTTGTTTGTGAGGGCAGTGGTGGTATGGGCCACAATGAAGGACTACCTAGGGTCCGTGTTAATTTGGAATTCTGAAAGTGGGGGGGGTGGTATCCCGCAAGAAGTAGCCCTCTAAATGGAACCAGATGGCATGATTACACTAAGTACAGGTTTGAATTGCTGAAAGGACTGTTTAGAGGGAAAATATGGTAACTGTGACACCTATAGAAGGTTTTAGAGAGATAACTAATGACTTTCTTCTTTTTACTTTCCATAATGTAAATAAAAGAACAGTACATCAGAAAGGAAGTAAAACAAAAACCAAGTTAAGCTAATTGAGATTAGATGGGCTTACTAAAGGAATCCAAGAGAAAAGGGCAGGAAAAATGATAGAATAGAAGTGAGGTAGAGTTCGTGAGCTGGAATTCCAGAGGAACTGATAGATGGTCAAATAGGAATTTATTAAGGTGGGACTAACATTTAGAAGAGAAAAAGATAACATAGGAAAGAATTTGCGAGCTTTCTCTTATGAATGTTATATTGGCTCAAGGGTTTATAGGCATGCATTTATTCTACAGCAGTAGATCAAGAGCTGTAGAATTCATGAAAGTTTCACAAAAGAGATTAAGAGATTCACTAGTACCTACTTTTTAAGGTTATTACAAGGATTAAGTAAACTCATACATATAAAAAACTTAGTGTGTATATATTAGATAACCCTCAATAAAGGTTAAATTATATCCTTGGGGACTGCTCACAGTTAGAAGGTAGTTAGACAAAAATAAGTTAAAAGTAAGAGCAGAGGAAAACTGAAATAGGATAGTTTAGTGCCAGAAAAGCAAGGAAAGTACTCCAAGAAGAAAGAGATGTTAAAAGTGTCAAATTCAGTAGTGAAAAGAAGGAAAATGGAGTTGGTAATGGATGACCTTCCAAAGAGCAGTTGCTGAGGTAAGGTTGGAAGTTAAAATACAGAGGGTTCAAAAGGAGAAAAGGGTGAGAAATTAGAACATATGATGTAGAATATTTATTACAGAAGTTTGGCAGTGAAAGGTGGAAAACAGGAGAATCCTTGGAAAGGGTATCAGGGTTAAATAAAAACTCTTTCTCCTCCTTCCAAATAGGGGAGGGTTACAATAATATAACCAGTTAATTGGGCCTGGAATGATTGCGCCTCTGACTTTTGCACAAAAATTTAGGAACTTACAATCAACTTCCACTTTGTCCAAATAAAAATCACTTGGTGAATAAACTCAAGTTCTGAAATTCAGATTGCTAAACTACTGTGTTCACTCAAGCACCAAGCAGCTAGCTGATATTAGCACCTTCCCAAATCATATGGACTATTCATAACATGAGCCACTGTAACTTGAGTGTGCTATTACATGATGACAGCCAGGAAAGTGGCCTTTGCAGACTTGTAGATCTACCTACATAATTCGATCATATCCTCCTCTCATTACTTCATGTCATTCTTCCTTTCTCTGGCTGCTCTGCTAGCACTCCAAGTAATCCTTGCAAAAATAATACACCTGATTTTTTCTCCATGTGCTTTTTCCTACTTGATATTTTCTCTTAGGCCCTGAATGTAGGATTTTAAACACTTTTTGTAAGCTTTTCTGCCCATTCCCATCTGTATTCAAACCACTGGGTGCTATTTCTCCATTTTATTGACACTAACTGTTATTTCCTTTTCTTCAAATATAATCCAAATCCTTAAATTAGCATGAGTAAAATAAGTATCGTACAATGTTGCTCTTAGTAAGAACAAAGTAAATGGCCATCCTGCCAAAAGCAATATACAGATGAATGCAATCCCTATCAAAATACCAACAGCATTCTTCAATGAATTAGAACAAATAGTTCTAAAATGTATATGGAACCACAAAAGACCCAAAATAGCCAAGGCAATCCTGAGAAGGAAAAATAAAGCAGGGGGGATTATGCTTCCCAACTTCAAGCTCTTCTACAAAGTCACAGTAATCAAAACAATTTTGTACTGGCATAAGAACAGACCCATAGATCAATGGAACGGAATAGAGAGCCCAGATATAAATCCACACATATATGGCTAATTAATATATGATAAAGGAGCCATGAATATACAGTGGAGAAAAGACAGCCTCTTCAACAACTGGTGTTGGGAAAACTGGACAGCTACATGTAAGAGAATGAAACTGTATTATTATCTAACTCCATACACAAAAGCAAACTTGAAATGGATCAAAGACCTCAATGTAAGTCATAAAAACCACAAAACTCACAGAAGAAAACATAAGCAAAAATCTCTTAAATATAAACATGAGCAATTTTTTCCTGAACACATCTCCCTGGGCAAAGGAAACAAAATCCAAAGTTAACAAGTGGGACTACATCAAACTAAAAAGCTTCTGTATAGCAAAGGACACCATCAGCAGAACAAAAGGGCATCCTACAATATGGGAGAATATATTTGTAAATGATTTATCTGATTAGGGGTTAACATCCAAAATATATAAACAACTCATATGCCTTAACACCCAAAACACAAATAACCCAATTGAAAAATGGGAGGAGGATCTGACAGACACTTCTCCAAAGAAGAAATTCAGATGGCCAACAGATACATGAAAAGATGCTCCACATCACTAATCATCAGAGAAATGCAAATTAAAACCACAATGAGATATCACCTCATACCAGTAAGGATGGCCAGCATCAAAAAGACTAAGAACAACAAATGCTGGTGAGGATGTGGAGAAAGGGGAACCCTCCTACGTTGCTGGTGGGAATGTAAGCTAGTTCAACCATTGTGGAAAGCAATATGGAGGTTCCTCAAAAAACTAAAAATAGAAATACCATTTGACCCAGTAATTCTAGGAATTTACCTGAAGGAAACAGGATCCCAATTCAAAAAGACATATGCACCACTATGTTTATTGCTGCACTATTTACAGTAGCCATGATATAGAAGCAACCTAAGTGTCCATCAGTAGATGAATGGATAAAGAAGAGGTTGTACATATACAGGAATATTATTCAGCCATAAAAAGAAAAGAAATCCTACCATTTGCAACAACTTGCATGGAGCTAGAGGGTATTATGTTCAGTGAAATAAGCCAGGTGGAGAAAGACAAGTACCAAATGACTTCAATCATTTGTGGAGTATAAAAACAAAACAAAACTGAAGGAACAAAATAGGAGCAGTCCCACAGACTCTAAGAAGGAACTAGTAGTTACCAAAGGGAGGAGTGGGGAGGGTGAGGGAGAAGGGGATTAAGGGGCACTATAATTCACAATCACAATATAGGTGGTAGATCGTAGGGAAGGCAGTATAGCACGGAGAAGACAAGTAATAACTCTATAGCATCTTACTACGCTGATAGACAGTGACTACAATGGGGGGTGGTGGTGAGGGCCGGATAATATGGGTGAATGTTGAAACCACAATGTTATTCATATGAAATCTTCATAAGACTATATGTCAATGATAATTTAATAATAATTTTTAAAAAAGCATTTAGAAAAACTAAAAAAAAAAAAAGAACTAAGTAAGTAGGCAAATTAACCACATACCTTCCTAGGAGAATTTCTTACCTTTTGGCCATTTCCTCTTGAACCTTAGCTATTTCTATTACCATTTCACCTTGTGAGGGCAATGTCTTTATCCCTAAAGAAGAAAATTTTAAGTGCAACATTACCTCAGTAAGAATAATAATACTATTAACAATGACTATGCTATGGAGAATTCAGTGAAATACAGGATAATGTTCTGTACTCAAGGTTACAATTTACTTGCTAACCATACCCTACCACCACCACCACAGATAATGATATTAACATCAGTAGCTAGCTCTATTCTACTTTGTCTTTGGAAGGTATTTCTCCTACTCTGACTTCCAACCAATACCTGCCTCCTCCTCAACACAGTCTTTCAGTTGGAAAATGCAATATGGATGTGAGAATATGGTAGATGGCCTTAAAAGTATATGGGAAATGAAGTATAAAGTAAAAGGATGGAGGGTGGGGGAACATACCACACTTGTACTCTTAATAACAAAGAGGCTATATTATAGCACAGGGAGAAGGAAGTAAAAATAAACTCTCAATTCCATTTTTTCCTATCCTGCTTAGACTCCACAATTTCAGAGGCAGCCCTTTCCACCTTGAAATGGCCCTGGCTAATAGAAGAAAGTTTGTTTGTTATTTATGTTAAGTTGATATTGTGCAATCCTCAAAGTTTCACTCCTTGGTTCTGGTTCAACTCTTTGAAGTGATACTGAGCAAATCAAATCCTTCTGCCATGGGGCACCTCTTCAAATATTTGAAGGGAACCCTCATACCTCCCTTGAATCTTATCTTCTCCAGGCTAACCCCCTCCACTTCTTCAGTTGTAATTCAAATGGCACATTTTCAAATCCCTTAACTATTCTTGTCTCTTTCCTTTTAATGCACTGCAAGTTCACTTTTAAAGTATGTCTGAGTGTGATCTGGCCAGTTTAGAGAACAATCATAAGTTCTATGATATTAACATTTTTAAATGATGCTAAATATACTTAAGCCTTTTAGAAGCCCTATCATTCTGCTGATTCATGTTAAGCCTTCTATCCCAAACTCTAGATTTTCCTCATGTTCTCCCAGCCTAAACTGAAAGACGATATAAAAAGGGGGGAAAGTGAGAATTTGAGAGGTTTAATTTTGTACATTCTGTAGTAGTTTTTAACCAGGTCTTACTTTTTGGCTGAAATCAAGTAACACCATTTCTATATTTGACTTTATCTATCTATAATGAAAGAATATGAAATTCATCTTCTTCACAAATATGTATCTATTGCCTAAAATACAGATGAGTGGATTCTAACCTGGAGTGCACACTGGAAAAACTTTGGGAATGTGTGGGGGTGTCTGCCCCACCACAGACTTACTAAGTAAAACACCACTAAGTAAAGCAAGCCTATTTTGGGAAAATTTCTCAGTAGATTCCAACAATGTCCATATTATAAATAACTAGTTTATTTTCACTCAAAAATTAATTTTTAAGCTCTAATTTTGTGCCAGTCACTAGTACAATGATAATATTCTCTGTTATTTAAAAGCAAGAAGATAAATATAATTAAATGTGCCACCAAGTAATTAAGTAGTCAACTTGCATTGTCACTTACCTTTAAATACTTGAGTGACCCAGCGTGCTTGCAGCTCTGAGATGGGCATGATGGCACCCAAGGGTTGGACCAAGCCTATGATTGCAAGAGTTGGCTTTTCCAGGTTAGGAGGGAAGACCTTTTTATACAGGGATATCTTGTTTCTGACTACTTTGACACAATCTTCAAGGAAAGGAAAGGCAAAGCTATAGCCTGTGGCAAAGATAACAGCATCAATGTCATCCTCCCTGGAACCATCTTCAAATATGGCAGCTGTTTCTGTGAATTCCTTCACATTTCCTTTCACCTTCACAGAGCCAGAAATTATACGATTTGGCAGTTCATCATTTACTGTTGGATGCTGACTCAAAGCTCTGTGGGTTTTGATAAGGACCAGAAGAAGGAGAAATGAGAGAGAACATAAGAGAGAGGTTAGAGTTGGGGAAGACAGAAAGAGAATGAGAGAGATCAGTAACATGTAACTACAATTCTACTCTGAGGCAGGCAGTTAAACAATATGGCAATGTTCTCCCTCGTGGTCTATCCATGAAATTTGGGAAAGGTCTAACATATACCAGCTTGTCACAGATCAAGATCTCAGAGCAGAAGTCAGACTCTGGGTAACACTGAAAAGGAAGATGGTGGAGAAGTGGAGGAAGAATGGGCTTTCCTAAGCATGCATGTATGGTTTTTCAAATAGTAGTGTTCTCTGTGATATGATAAAACACAGGCCAATAGTTTCTATGCATATATCAAGTCTACAGAACTGGACTATTACATTCTGTTTAGTCTCATTTCCAGTGTCAAAGACCCAAAAGCTAACTTAGACTACCATTTTCCAAACTGAATAATAAATTACATTTGTATAGTAATTTACAGTTATAAATTGGTTTTACATACATTAACTTAAATGAGTCTCACACAAATCCAATGAAAGAGGAAAGACAGGTGTCATCCAAGTTTTATAGATGAGGAAACTGAGGCCTAAAGAAGTTAAGTTGCTTGCCCAAGGTTACACAACCTAGGAATTTAGAATTTATACCAAGATGGTTTTCTATGAACACCCTTGGAATCCTCTGGAACTGTTAAATTGTGTTTCCTAGAGACAGCATAGGATTAGGATGCCAAAAAGTTAAGGCAGGGTTTCTAATGTCTCGGACCTTTCTAAAAAGCAACCTGAATCATTGGACCTAGAGTTTAAAGCTCTTGAGAATTCTCAGCCCATCATGTTCAGACTGAGCTGGCCTAGCCTCAGGAACATGATGCATTTAAACAACTATTACTAGTTTGTTGCATTTGGTTATGCTTTGACTCTAATCATTAGATAGAGTCATTCCAACCTCATGATTTCATCTATCTCTCCAAAATTCCTCCTTTTCACCAACAGTAACATTATTCACATAGTTCCCTGAGCCACAAAACTATGAGCTTTACATCTGGTCACCAAGTCCTTTTCCTTTTTCCTCTTAACATCCCCAGAATAGCTGAATCAATTCTCTAATTCACCTGGACTATTATAATTGTCTTTAGGGCCTCCTGCTCATCTCCCTTCATCTATTTCTATGTCATTTTTGGAGTGGTTGTTCCAAAATGTATTTACTATTATGTCATTCACTTGGTTAAAATCTTTCAGTGGCTCTGGACTGTCTTCATTCTAAGCTTGTTATTTAGCAGAGCATACACAGGTTTTCACATACCTGCCCAGTCAGCTGGGAGATATACTCAGTCACTTTCCCATCTTTTCCATATACATAGTTCAGCCAAACCAGATTACATGCAGGTGTCAAAGCATAATGTATTTTTTGCTATTCCAAGACCTTGTACTCATAATGCTACTTCCTTATTCTGTTTTGACCATCTCCTATTATTCTACAGAGCCTCAATTTATTTTATAATCACCCAAGTTATGGACACTACAATTTCCATAATGGGGTAAAAAGGTTGTTGGAAACACAGCCTCAAGATATCTTTGATTAGTTTCAAAGAAAAAAAATATCTTTACAAAGGACAAATCTGGTAAATACCATCTTATCCATTTGAGTATATTTAACATCATTAGTATGAGATAAACTGATACCATGTGGTTTCTGATGTGAACCACTAAGAAGGCACAACAAAACCTGAGTATTTGTGCCAAAATGTTCAGTCTGCACACAAGGACAGAGCAACTTTGCAAGCCAAAATTTAGAGACTTTCTGAAAAACAGATGACTTTGATTCTTTAAAAAAAGTCCATGTCAAAAAAAATGCAGAATTATTTCAGATGAAAGAATAAAGAGACATGACGACTAAATGCAATGGTGTAATACCTGGTAGGATCCTGGATCAAAAATAAAAAAGCTGTAAGTAGTAATATGGGACAACTTGGAAAATTTGAATATATGCTAGCTAGATAACGGTATTTTATCAATGTAAAATTTCCCAAGTGTATAATTGTATTATCTTTATGTAGAGAATGCCCTTTTTCTTAGGCAGTTTATGTTGAAGACTGTAGGGTAGTCTTAATGGCTACAATTTACTCTCAAATGGCTCAGAAAAAAATATGCATGTATGCATGTATGGATGCTACACAGGTATGGGGAGAGAAAAGCAATATTGTAAATTGTTAGTAAGTGAATATGAGTGAGAATTATATGGGTACTTGCTATACTTGCTATTTTGTAGTAAGTACATCTAAACATTTAAAATAAAAAGTTGGAGAGAACAAGCACTTAAAAATCAGTCTCTAGAAACGCTTTCACAGTCTACCTCCTTGGCTGTGTGAGGACCCACATCCCTCATACTCTCATGGTACTCCAAGCATTTATCATATTCTATTGTCAGTCTTTTTTGTTAGAATATTTAAAGTAACATCCATTTTTCAAGTCGGCCATTTATTACTTGTGTGACCTTGGGCAAGTTAGTTTCTTTGAGTGTCAACTTCTGTATCTGCAAAATGGAGACAAAATAGCACCAGTCTCTAGGGCTCTTGTGCAGATTAAGTAAGATAATGTGTGGAACTTATTTAGACACATGCTTGTCTTATATTAAGTCCTCAAAAAGGTAAGGCATTATTATTTGCATTAGTATTATTATTAGATCTTTAATCTCTGTATCTTCATGCCCAGTACAATGCCTGGATCACAACAGGTGCTCAATGTTTGTTAGATGAATGAATGAATGATGCACTGCCCTCTACTACCATTTTGTTGTTGAGCATCATGTAAAAAGAACTGGTACCTGGGGGAATGATAAAATGGTTAGTGCCAAGGAAAATCATAGACTAAAGGTCACAGACTAGGAGACCTTAGACTTCTGTTGGGGTAAGGTAGGAATCTGATCTCAGATTTCATGGATTCTCTTAGTGTACAGGAAGGGTAGCTCTACTATTAGCCTGTGTGAACAGTCCTTATTCTTGGGCTTTAGCCATTACCACCCCACTCCCATCCTCAGAACATACCTGTGTTTAGGCTTCAGGCCAAACATTTCATGGTCAAACCTGTGATTCATCTTGTTTTCCAAAAATGAGTTTGTTAATGATTGACCACAAATCTTTGAAAGAACATATTTAAATCGAGAAGACAGCAATGCATCAAAAGGATATCCATGGTCTGCTACACGATTCAGGATCCAAGCCCCTCTCCTGGTGCTGAGGAAAACCTGGAGCGTAGAAAAATTGTTTGCTTTTCCATTCCCTGGCTCATTACCTTGCAGTAACATTCCATTTCATTCAAGATTAAGCTCAAGCTCATTAGGATGGCTTCTTAGTCCCTGTACAATCTTTCTTTATTTCCTCCTCAAACTCTATGCTTACAATTACTTGGTATATTCACTGACTAAGAATATTCTCCCATCTTCTTCATCCTCCAAAGCTTGTTTATTTCTAAGATCCAGATGCAGTCTGCCTGCTCCATAATGATACCACTGACCATTCTGGCTGACAGTTTTCTCTTCATCCTCTGAATTTCTCTAGCACTTGCCACCTGTCCAGCTCATTTAAAAATTATGGGACAGTAGAGCTGGAAGCATTTGGAAAACAGTTAATCCACAACCCTTAGTCTTTTCTGCCTGTGACATTATTTACATTATTATAAAAAAACTGTTATTTATCATTTATGTTGATATTAAACTTTTTATAGTCTTATTTTCTGTCTCTCATGTGTTTTCTGCAGGAAAGGAGGTAGAGCACATACACCTTTCAGTCCACCCAACACACAATTGTCGTTACTTTCATTTATTGAGAGCTATGACCTGTAAGTCACTGGGTTAAGTCATTCATCTATGTTCCTGTTTAGTCAATACAATGACCTCTTTAGGTGTAGGTATTAGTATCCCCATTTTATGGACCAGACGCATGGAGAGCATGAATCACTTGACATCATATAGCCAGTACATAGAAGAGCTGACTTGCCAGCCCAGGTCTGACTGACTCCAAAGTCTATGCTTAAGAAATGTTTCATTGATTATTTAATGGAAAACTGAAGCTTGCTAGTAGGACAATAGGAAAGTGGTCAGTCTTTCTGTGTCTGGCTAACATCTGTGGTCAGAGTTGATAAAGGCTTGATATTCAATTACCTGGCAAAAGCATCACTTCCTCAACACTACGAAACCCTTCAGAGATAGTGTCCAGAACTGTAAGGTTTATAAGTACTTTGCTTTATGGTCTTTTGTCTAAGCACTCAGGTAAAAAGGTGGCCTGTCTACAGGGGGATAATCATGTACTTCTCAGTGGAGGTGACCTTAAGTGCTATCATTATTAAGCACTTTTACATGTCAGTTCAAAGAGCATGGTGGTCTTAGGAATCAGTTTTGTCTGCGATCTATATAGCTTTCGTCATGAAAGTATATGAGTAATGTATTTAATCAACACCTCCACTAAAAGGTTTTCTATGTGTAAAATAGTGACAGTAATACTTCACTGGGCTGTTACAAGAACTACATAATGTTTTCATATAGAGTAGTAGCATATAGTAAACACTCAATAAATGCTTAATGACTATCATCATACTTCTTATTTCAGTTTCCCTTCTATACCTGGTTTTAAGCAAACAGCATATTTATAAATCTGGATTTATAAGAAAAAAATGTAAGAAATGTTTTACAAGAAAGGGATGTTTTCTCTTCATAGAAGTGTATTATAACAAAACTTCCCTGATACTCTGCAGTTTATAGGTCCATTACAATTTTTTGATTTATAAACAACTTCTCATAAATACAATTTAATATGTAAAGCAAAAAGTTAGAACCTCGCAGTTTTCTTCAGCCTGCGTCAGTGGGTGACAGTGCCGGCCCTGCTATGCAGACAGGGTTTTGCTGGGCGTTTCCCCAGCTTTCTGACACACAGCACCTTATCTCCATGCACTCTGAATGCTTTCTTCTTTGGCCGTCTACAATTGCTCAGCACACGTGAGGCCCATCTCCCTGATAACTGACCATTCTGACAAGCTAGTGATGGTAAAGAAGGCTCATGCTTTGGGTCGCCACTATATACCCTGCACATTCATTTCTCATAACACCCACACACATTTTTATCCTTTTTGTTTGTATACCTATTTCTTGACAAATGCTTACTGAATTAACTCATGGAGTAACATAAGAAATCCCTTCTGTGATAATACATGTGGGTAGTACTGAGAAGAAGTGTTACTGAATGAAGTGTCCGGGTAAAGGTCATTTAACAAAGTTGTGGCATCAAAGTTTCTATTTTTTAAAAATATTTTAAAACATATTTGTGAAGCACAGCTTAATTAGAGTTACTGAAGAACAACCAGGCACTTATCTATTGCCAGTGAAGTCACGATTCAATAAAGACATTAATAATGAAGTATTTTAACAGTGACAGTCTTTTTTTCTAGGAGTTTATAATGAAGACGCTTTCCTCCCAATTCACAACCTATGATACAAAAAACAAAATAAACAGAAAAACCTCAAGGCCATAGAAATTATTTTAGAATGAATGGCATTCTTTGTTACCTTACTGTAGGCAAAGGCTGGGGTGAGCTACTTTCATATGCTGCAGGGTAGACACTACAGTGTAGACACTTCTCATACTGATATCCATGTTAGCTTTGGAAAGATTAAACTGCTTCCTTTTCTAACTGGGGAGTGAGGAGGAAAATTCCCCCACCATCCTATGAGCAAAAAGCTTCCAGTGACCCAGTATGCGTTCCTTCACATAAGAGCATGGCACTTATGCTGGCCAACAGAAGATCTGCCCTCTAAATGCTGCATTCTAACAAGCTCTCTCAGCCAAGTGTTTGGTCTTCCAAGCTAGAGGCACACTGAAGAGACAGCTGATAAGAATTATGAGCACAATCTGTGGATATTACCTCATTCCTCACTGTGAGGCCAACTGAACAACAGGAGTCTGGCTAGTAGCCTTGGCTCCATCATATCATAGGTCATAATGTTGCCAACCAAGGCAATGAAACCAAGCCCTACATTTGCCATGGGCACTGATGGGCTATGTGCAGATATCCATAGTCTATGTTGGGTCCACATGCAACTTCCATGGTGAAGCAAAGTAAATAGTTTACTGATATGAACCTGCTTGGCTGTGTGACTAATTTCCACAGCCAGATCCCCTCCAGAATTCCCAATTCCAATTATAATGACTCTCTTTCCAGTGAAGTTCTCAGGATTCTTATATTCTCGACTGTGAAAGTACTGTCCTTTGAACTTCTCGATTCCTGAAAGAGAAGGGAAAATAATTACTGGGTGATACTTTATCTGTTATTATTGGTCAAATTCTTCTTTTTTTGCAGTCTGTAGATTCTAAGCATATATTCTCCATATGTTCTACCTTTACTCAGCTGCACTCTTGCCTTTTTCAATATTTTTGCTATTTTTTTCCCCATAGCCTCAGAGCAAAACCTGTCATTTCCTTATCATCAACAGTCTGCTTAACTCAGAAACTGTTTGTATTTTGGACTTGTATTCTCACAAATCCAAAGTGTTTCAGAAAACCTCCATTCTATTTTGTCTTTTAATCCTCTTTAAAAACCTAGTCCCATTTCAATTGGAGTAAATATGCTTTTATATACTCTAGAGTATACATAGAGTGCTTCTTTTAAAAAATAAAAATTCAGGCCAAAGACTGCAATTAAATTCTTTATTTAAGCTTTAATTTCTTCCTTAGAAACTCAATATTTGTGTCCTTGACTGCTGAAAAAGTCCTCATTCAACCTAATGTGGATTTATGCCACATTGTTGCATTTGATCCTTAGAAAAACTAAAGTCATTGTGAACTAACTATAACTACTTTTCTCTAGTCTCCAAAATTACCATTCTCTCTACTTCCCAATTGGCAGTAATACAAGTTATCCCAAATCTTTCTGAGGAACATACAGAATTAGGATAAGCTTTATTTCATTCCAAGGCAGGAATCATTCCAACACAATCCTCCCATTCCTCAGGGGTCAGGTCACAGACACGAAGCAAGGTCTTCTTTCCTGGTAGGCTACTCACCAGGGAAGCTCTCCAAGGGAAGGTTCGCATTGGTGTGATGGCCGGTGCAAACCATGACTCCATCAAAGACTTTCACCTCCTTTTTTCCTTCAGATTCTGTGACCACCTCCCATTGACCTGAAGTGGAGAAATCAGGCTGCTTCTTCACACTGCATACAGTGGTCTGAAAAGAAAAGTGATAGTCACAGGGGACTGTCACCACAGGCCAGTAAGTGGACATCTTCTCTGATGTGACTCTCCTCACAGAGTGTCACCCAGAGGGCTGATATAACAGAACAGAGCTCATGTAGGGATATTTGATTTTCATACTCCACACATAAGTTGCTTGGGCTGTGGTCAGAGTGAGAAAACTTCCACGAGGCAGGCTAAATAGGTTTGGCAGGCTAATGCTGCATTCTCCTTCAGAAAAGTACAAATTACTAGCTCCCTTGGACAATGCCCTAAGGCAACATCACACTTCACTACAGCTTGGGCTTCTCCTATGCTTCTAAGTCACTCCTTGTGCTAAAAGCTTATTCCTCCACTGACCCCCAGACATCATGAGACCCTTTGATGTCTTCTTACCCCCGACCTCCTGTTTTCACCATCTAGCCTTAAACTTGTGATTGACCTATAGTGCTCCCTTTTCTAGTAGAGTAGCAAAACATCTCAGTGGCTCATATATTATGTAAATGAACCTCTCTTTGGCTCCCATAGATGCTCATTTTACAAGTAACTATAAGGAAAGCGGCTATGAGATGAAATAGTTATTGGTATAGGTTTTAGCTTTAAAGAACAAATAAATACTAAATAAAGGTTATTCTACTCAGCCTAAGGAAACATTAAGAATGTGTTCCTATGTGCTTCTAGGGTCTATAATCATAATGTCTTGGTGGGCTAATAGAGGCATGACCCCTGTGTAATCCGGCCTCCCACACTATTTATAGTTCTTCTTTTATCACATTCTTGCTTTTACATGGGCAGGTGTCTCTGCCTGGATAACCCTTTTATTCCTTATTCATTTGGCAGATTCCTACTCATCCTTCAAAATTTAGCTTTGGATATTATCCCCTCTGAGAAAATCTCCATGGTGTCTGATGCCTCATGCCCTGTTAGGGTAAGCATCCCTCTTTAAGCTTCAAAAATAGATCTCTGTGGCCTTAGTCACCCTGTAACTCCTTAGTTTTAATAATTATACATATAATGCAGTTTTTCTTCTTTTTTTATCTCCTTAACTAGACTATGAAATCACTGATTTTTTTTCTTTTGGTCCTTGTATCTTCAAACTTGTTCAATAAGTGTTTGAACAAATAACGAGATGTCTACCGGACTGTGAATGACTTACTTTGGAAGTTGTCACTGGATATTATCATTTATTAATATTGTTAAACAGAAAAGGGCATGATTTAGCAGAATCAGGAAATAGAAGGGGGTGGGGGTAGAGGAACTGGATGAAGGTGGTCAAAAGATACAAACTTCCAGTTGTAAGATAAGTAAGTACTGCGTTTGTAATGTACAATCTGATGGCTACCATTAACACCGTATGGTATATTTGAACATTGTTAATAAAGCAGATCTTACGATTTTTCACAACAAAGAAAAAGAAAAAAGGAGGTAGACCATTCAGGCTTTCTTTCAGCTGAATGGCCATGGTTAGGAAATGATAGAAAAATCATGGAAAACTTTACAGAAGAAAAGAATCACTGAAGTAATGTAGTACAATCATCTTGTTTCAGAAACAAGAAAACTGAGGCACATGGAAGTTGAAAAACTTATTTGTCTGGGGTCACAAGTTAACTAGTGGCAGAGCAAAGACTAGAATTCAAGTTTTTGTTTCCTAATTCAGTGTTCCTCCCTTTATAACAGAGTTAACTTCTTTGCTCAATAACTTCCCAGTAACTACTTCAGTGGGTTGTGATCATATAAAACGAATGCATTGGAAAGTATAAAGGGCCTAAGCTGTAGTAGGCAAGTTGTGGAACGAAAAAGGTTTTAAAGTTCTCATTCCTGTCAGTCCCCACCTCTAACTGGGAAAACAGTTTCCCTCAATTGCTTTATTGCAACCACATAGTATAAAGTGAAGGCAAAGAAAATATTCTGGCAGGTGGCTTCTTGGACCTGCAGCCAAAATATATAGAAGAGGGAAATTTCCATGAATATTTTTCAGAGAAGACAGAGGGGAGTCTTTGTCTGGACAGGATATCATGTGCATGTGCACTGACACGTCCATGTCAAACCAATCTTTACAAATGAAGCTGAATTATTCATTTACTTGACAAACAACTTCAAACACAAATACACAAAATCCCCTACCTTAAACTGAATATACTTTAGAAGGTCAAATTCTTTGGCATACAGCCTGAAATACTCCAAGACCTTGGAGTTGTGCATGAAGTTAGGAAAATCATCTGGGATGGGATAATCACTGAAGCACATCATCTCCTTAGACGTATTGATGATTACTGATTTATAAATGCTGGCCCTTCCTTCTTCAGGATTTTCCTGCAGTAAATAAGAAGCATTTAGAGCAACTGAGAATTAACTTCATGGCTTATAAACAGCCAATCAACATTTGAAAAAGTTTTCTGAAAGAAATGCCAATTAAAAAAAGTTATACACACATACACTCCTCCACATCTCCCAGTATTTGCACCCTGTGTAGTCTCTTCTTCTTGAATCTGAGTTGTCTTTATTAGGTTAACGAGAAAACCACAGGTTCAAAGATGGAGTCACTCATGTCAATGGTCCTACATCAGTAAACCAAGACTTTATACCTAATCTAACTGTAGTTTCAGCCCCCCTATGAATGTAACCTTTAACCATTGAGTATGGAATTTTCCTGGTTGGCACTACAAGATTTACTGATAGACTTCTTCAACTCCCCTTGAAAGGGTGACCTTACCTAAAACAATGGATTCTCTGCTAATAATTTTTTCCTTTTTTGTAGCTCCTTTTCTACCTTTAAATACCTTTCCTCCTCTGTAGATCAATGGAGCTCCCCTCTACTTGCTAGATAAGATGCTGCCCAATTCAGGAATTGACTAATAAAGTAAATTAGATCTTTAAATTTCCTTAGCTGAGTTTTGTTTCTTAACAATGACTTGCTTTTGACCAACAGCATGCAATTAGGATGACACTGAATGGCTTCTGAGACCAAGTCATAAATAGCCTTGTAGCTTCTGCCTATAACTCTTCTTCGAAAGCTTGCTCTGGCAGAAGTCAGCAGCCAAGTAAGATGTCCAGCTACTGTGAAGCCAGCATACTGTGAGGATGCCCAAGCTAACCACATGAAGAGAATGTCTGGGATATAGAGATGTGCAGACAGCCCCCAGAAATTTTAGTTATCCCAGCTGAAGTTCTGAACATGTGAGCAGAGAGGTCAGAGCAGGTGTCCAGTCACTGTCACCTGATGGCAGTGACATAAGACTCCAAGTGACAATAAACCAACACTAGTGAGTAAATGTGTTTCCTGAGTTATGTGAGCCTCACTTGCAAATTAATTGAACCCAAAGAGCAGGTCCTGGGAACCTCTGATCTATAGCTGGTCGATAGGAAGTAAATGTAACAACCTGGACTTGCGACTGGCATCTGATGTCCGAAGCCCAAGGAGAGGCTCATTGAAACCTCCAATCTATAACTGGTAGGTCAGAAGCACAGATATTAACCTAGGCTTGTGACTGGCATCTGAAGTGGGGCAGAAGGACAATCTTGTAGGTCTGAGTCCTCAACCTATGGAATCTGAAGCTATCTCCAGATAGTTAGACAGAATTAGGTTTAATTCTTGGACATCCTGCTGGTGTCTAAGAATTGTTTGTTGGTGTGGGAGAAACCTCCCCACCAACTACACACATATGCATTGGAATTGGTCTCAGAAACATCTTAATGCCTAACAAAATACACTGAGATCTGAGAACCCGTGCTCTGTGTCACTGCTACCTAAAGTGTGATCTGTGGACCAGCAGCGGCAGCACCACTTGGGAGATTGTTAGATTGTTAGAAATGCAGAACCTCAGGCCCCATCCTAGACCTACTGAATCAGAACCTGCTTTTTAACAGATTCTCAAGTGATTCAGATGCATCTGAAAGCTGAGAAGCATTGCTCCAACATTATCACCAATTCCATATACTTACCCCACCAACATTAACTTCCTTTCATCCTCAAAAACTTTCTAATAACTATCTCATAGCATTTTGCATGATATCTACCCAGACTATTAGTTTGTCACTGAGATATTACAAAGGCTGACTTTTCAAATCTGTTAGATATGTTTTAATTGTTTTGATTATGGAAAATCACCTTAACCAATTAGGGTTCCTTCTTCCCTTTTTATTCCAGAAATGAACCGATATTTGGATGCTGGATATTATTATATAATATTGTATAGTATTATAAATGGCCACAAAGGAGAGTGTTCAATGGCATTGTCCACACTAGAGATGATTTTCCTCACATTTCTACAGACGAATTTCTCAGTCTAGAAATCCTGAATTTATCATTCCCATTTCTTTGCCCAATACTGCAAGACCTCATTCTCTTTGACTGCCAATAACATTTTCACCAATTTCTTTCTAAGTCTCTTCTAATCTATCCTACCTGTTTTAACCGAAGTGTTTTTTCTGGGGTGTGGCTGCACCTCTGCTGTAATTAAGATTTTGGATGTTGCCCCATTTTCTACAGTTTATATTTTTCAGCTTAGGACTCAAAGACCTCCATGATGTCTTACAGTATATTTGTCATCTCCCCAACTACCTTGCAAGCTCCTTGAATTGTACTCCTGGTTTTCCCCCCACAGCATCTAAAATTACAAACAGCACTTAGTAAATATTTAGTAGATGTACGTTGAATTGTTGTGAAAAGCACACACAGAAAAAAGAAGTAAATTTCACATAATGCATAACAAACTGATGAAATATATCAAAATTTACTTCAAAAAGAGTTGAATAAGATGTATTTATTTTACTCCCAAAAGTTTGTATTGTAAGGAAAATTGTAAAATTATATAAAAGTCAAATGCATAAAGATAGCCATTTTGTATTATTTTAAATAGCAATTCATTAGTAACAACTTATAATACCCTCCAAATAAGTGGATGGTTTAGTATGTTATGGTATCTCAGTATGATGCAGAATTTATCTGCCACACCACTTCATAAGTATCCTGCTAAATACAAAGCAGATCTCATCACTCTGTTGCTTAATGATTCCATCTGGAGAACCAAATTATTTTGAAAGTAAGCATATCTCACAACCTAGCCTATTCTCTTTTTTCTTTTTCACTTAATGCTCTCCTCAATTAATTATAAGTTTCTAAGTCATTAAATTGTCACTGAAATAGCCTAGACTCTTTAATGACTTTAAGCTTTTGTATATAGTACTGCTTGAAAAATTCCTATATATCATTCAAGAGTCACATCAAATGTCACTTCTTTGGAGAAAACTTTCCTCCCCACAGAACTACATGTCCTATTCAATCTCCAAGCTGACAAAACTCTGTTCATATTGCCATTAAAGCAACTTAAACATACATACTATATTATTCTGTATTTGTTTCTATGACCGTGTGGTACCTGAGGGTAGGATATATGTACACAAAAGTCAATTACTTTCCTATATACCAGAAATGAACAATTGAATTTTGAAATTTAAAAACAATACCATTTACAATAATACTCCCCAAACTAAATACTTGGGTAAAAATCTAACAAAAATGCATATAGGATTTATATGCAGAAATGATAAAACACAGATGAAGAAAACTGAAGCCCCAAATAAATGGAAAGATATTCTGTGTGATAGTTTGTAGACATCAACAAATTGATTCTAAAGTTTACATAGGAAGATGAAAGGCTTAGAATAGCCAACGTTGTCCTTAATTGTGGACTGTGCATAGTGACTTTCTTCAAAGAGTACAGTGTGGGAAGGCAGGAAAAAAGAAAGAGTGACTTTACAGTGGCAAAACCTGACAAACACCATCTCAAGCCAGGCATCAAATTTAACATCAACAATGATGCCATATTGATGGTCTGTACCATCAATACGATATTATAAAAAGGGCACTTTATCTCTATGGTCTTCCTTCACCAAATCCATAAACCCAGTGTAACCATGACAAAAACCTCAGACAAATTGAGGCTGAGATACATTGTATAAAACATCTAACCAGTAATCCTCAAAACTGTCAATATCATCAAAAAAACAAGAAAAGTCTGAGAAATTGTCTCAGCCAAGAGGAGTATAAGGAGGCACAACAACTAAATGTAATATGGTATCCTGAATGGGATCCTGGAAGAGGAAAAGGCCACTAGGGAAAAAAACTGAGTAAATCTGAATAAAGTATGGACTTTAGTCAATAATAATGTATCAATACTGGTTCACTAATTATGACAAATGTATCTTACCTAATGTAAGATGTTAATAATTGGGGAAACTGGGCATGGGGTATGTAGGAACTCTGTACTGTCTTCCTAATAATTCTGTACATCCCAAACTGTTCTAAAATTAGAAGTTTATTTAAACATGCTTTTGTATATGGCATATTGTTTTAAAAAAATTAATGAGTGGCAGGGTCATTTTGGAACTAAGATATCTATGAGAGCAGGGGTAGAAACATTACTAACTTCTGAATTTGATTTCACTAATTCATTCAACAGATATTTCTAAAATCATTCTAATAAAAACACTATGTTAGGTACTAAAAATTACAAGTCTGTCCCTGTTTCACAGGTTCAAAGTTGAGTGTAAGGAGTGGAGTCATGCATTCCACAGCAGGTCTGTGATGGTCACTGAACTAAATGAATCAAAGATCTTGCCCCAGTGACAATAATATTCCTCTATTTATATTATTTTTCAAGTCACAAACACAACAAAGTGTTATCTTTTGGGAACAAAAATCTTCAAGCCCTTCCAAACACTTACTAGATCCTAAGTAAGATTTATCACTGTGTCAACCCACTGCTTTATAAATAAAAGAGAATGGAAGCAGAGCAGTATAGGATCAGTGAGTGGAAAAAGAAGCTTTTGTTACTGGATTTAAAATTTTCCTACCATTAACAAATAAATCCGCCCTCTACAAATGTACCTTGATTGTTTTTCCTGCCTAAAGACATAACTTGACACATTTGAGTAGGAAGTTCATGTAAGAAAAGAGAGAGTGGTGCAGGGCAGTATTAACTGGAACTGAAGGGATTGGAGGCAGTAGTAAGGGCAGAAGAAAGGAGAAAAATTACTCCCCTTCAGGGGGAGGAGCCAGGACAATGTGGGTCTTCTGTTCCATTGACAGACTCGCAGAATCCCTCATGGGACAGAGCTCTCTTAGGACTGTTGTTCTCGACCTTGTCTTCACATTGGAATCATCTGGGGAACTCTAAAAAATACTAATCCTTGATCCTGGAGATCTGTTTTAGTTGCTTTTTTAAGTTTGTAGACAAAGTTGAGATATGCTGATTAAAGTTAGTGTTACTGCCCCAGAAAGCTCAGGGCCCCAGAGTTCATCCCATGAACCTCAGAAACCCTTTCTCCACACAGCTTCATCTAAACTGCAAAATCGTGAGGCAGTGGCAGATGGTTATGTAACTGTGTCTTCACACCATCCAACAGTCTGAAGTCCAGAAATATTTGTTCAACAAGCTATTATTGACTTTGTTTTAAAATGCAGTGTCATTGTCATTTATCACCTGGGAAAGCTGTGGTAAAAGCTATAGGGCAAAAGTCTGCCCCTTGGCTGCACATTAGCAATCACTGTAGAGAGCTTTACTGACACCCTAGGCCAGTAAAACCAGAATCTCATGGATGCACTGAGATCAGTATTTGTCAAATACTAAACACTAATTAACAGCCTTTTCAGCCCATGTCCAGGACTGATTATGATAGGCATGGGGCAGGAGGAGGTTTGAGGTCTGCTAAGTGGTATCCATCCTAGAACTGAATAAAGACTATTGCCAAGTAGAGGCAGTCCCCAAAGACAGAACCACGATGCAGAAGACTGAACTGCTGTTCAACTAAGGAATGCTATGAAGCCTTTTTGAGGAGTTGGCCAATGCTGTATTAGTCTTCATAAAACACATCTGGACACCTTAATACCATTCACTGGTATATAAAGTGAGTTTAAAAGCAAATCAGTGCATGTCACTTTGGAGATCAGTAAAGGAAATTGATATTCTTTGGCATCCAAATAAGCTTATCATTTAGGTAGATAATACCTTATGTGTTAGTAACAAGTCACAGGGTTATATGTCCATATTGAAGCAACTCAACTTTAGAATTGAGTATATGCAACGATAAGAAAACCCAGTTGCAGGTGCCTCTGCCCTCTTCTGAAGACAGGACCTTGAACTATTGATTTGACTTCTCAAGTGAAGGAAAAGTTAAAACCAAAGAAGGCAGCCAGCGTTTATAGTCTAGTTGAAGAACAAGGATTATTAAAGAACTATCTAAAATGAACTAGAATTCAAAAGAAAGAAAGAGAAGAAAAGAAAAAATAAATAATAAGGATGTTAGAGCAGGTTGAAAAGGGAGATGCCTGCAAGGAGTTGTAAACAGGTATTCTAGGTCACTTACACATTAAACGCAGACCAAGAGCAACCACTTTAAATTTTCTAACCAATTTGCATTTTCTAACATTTGTTATTTTGTTACCCCACCCTCAAAGATTGTTACCCGCTTCTTGATAACAGCAAAAATCATTAAATGAAAATGATCTCTGTGCCACTTTCATAGACATCAGTAAAGGAAGAACAAGTGATACCTGGGTCCCATTTTGCTGTCCGCCTAGGGAGAGTGGGAACTGCACAGAACCTGAGATGATAGATGCTGAGAGAGGTCAGCAGGCTGAATTCTAGCTGCTTTAATCACTGTTAAGCCCATCATATTTCCTGACACAAGATAAAATATCTCACTGCAGGAAGTCATCAAGGATGTGACTGTCAGTTGACCCTTGGCTCGAACTCAGGCAATGGGAGGCTCCTCACCTGCTCCCCTGCTCTTGGGCAAACATCCATTAGTGAATTCTGCCTCTGAGTTAGAGTAATCAAACCAGCACTGAGAACTGCCAAATGGCAACTGGTAAACCTGCTACCCCTGTGAAAAGTGGTACCTGTCAATCTAAATTGCCTGGAAAGCATAAGGAAATAAGATAAAGTATCCAAGAACGGCCCCAGGTGGGTTCCGAACAGCCTGCCCATAGTGCTTCCAACCGCCCAGTACAGCGGGTAAAAAAGGCAGATGGCTCTGGCAGAAGTCAGTGGACTACTGTGACCTGAACACAGTGGTGCCCCCCAACCCCCATCTATGTGGCTGTGCCCAATATCACCACATCATAGATCCTTGGCCACAGCCCTGGGAGTGTGCTGTGCTGGACTTGGCAGATGCCTTTTTCAAGCTATCCCTGGCCCCTGAGGCACAAGATCAATGTTGCCTTCATATGGGAGGGGTAACAATAGGCCTTTCAAGTAGCAGTGGACCTCCCCAAAGTCTCCTGCACAGTGCCACCAAATGTCACGGGATGGTAGCCTTATAGCAGTCGCTGTTCTCCTTCCCTACATCAGTAAAACAGGCCCGTTACACTGATGATACGATGGTAACATGTGAAGACGTGTTCCTGCTACAGGGTACTCTGCAGGCTTTGTTGGGATATACCCAAGGGAAAGAATAGGCAGTGAACCCACAGCAAACTCAAGGCCCAGGCACCGCCATGAAGTTTCTGGGAATTGTGGGGTTGGGTAAGACCCACTTCATTCCAAAAGCTGTAACAGATAAGGTGTGAGCCTATCTAACCTCAAGGAACACAAAGGCACTGCAAGCCTTTGTAGGGATTTGGGCATTTTGGTAAAAGAACATGACCCTGAATGGATATTCTGTTTCCTCTATAACCCAAAAGCAGCAGGGTTGGTAGAAAGGAAAAATGGAATATTAAAGCAGCAGATTAAATTACTAACAAGTAACACCACTTTGACTGAAACTACTTTGGCTGGGAGGACTAAAGTACTATCCCAGGCTTTAATACATCTGAACGATCAACCAGGAGGTCTGTTGCCCCATATGAGGCATGGGGACCCCTGCTGAGGCAACCAGTACCATAAAGGTACAGAAGTCACAGGCAACAGCCATTGCCGCGACTCTCATCGTGGACTGACATGCTATGTTACTGAGAACACCAAGCCTCATCATGCCTGGGAAGGGAGTTAACTACTGGAATTTGTAAAGGGATGCCCTGCTGGGATGGCTGAGTTACTGTGCACCCCTTGGTGAAGGGGAACTACTTAACCTCCATAGGGATCCCATTTTCCTGTTGAAACACACTATACCTGGAATAGAACATGCATCATTGAGAGAGGGGAAATGGTGAGGCCCTGGTCCAGAACACACCACCTCCAGTCCATCTCTTCACATCTGTCAGTGCTGCCTCCCCCAGCCAACACATATTTTATACACAACCTGGTCACATTCCTAAGCTGTAGCCACATTAACATCTAAGGATCAGGGCACAAGTATAATTCTTCTAGTGGGGGAACTTTCCCATATAGGTTCCTGCTAAATACCTGTCTTTGACCTGGTCCTGTGGTGTCTGGTCATGGGAAGGGCAGCTGCAGGAAACAGCCTTGTGCAGTGGGCCCACCCATACACCTGATAAAAGAATTAGTCCAATCACTGGGTATGTGAGCAGCTGCTCCTCTCTAGTGCATCAGGATTGCCACAGTGGGTATAGCCACTCTGGAAAGGGTGTTGGAAGGCCCTAAAATAGTACATTAAGGAAGACCAAGCTAGGACTAGAACTCTTGATTATCTGATATTACCAATACTGATCCTGAAACTTGGCCTGTGGCACACATTATCAATAACACTGGGTATTCTTTTTCTTCACACAGGCAGCCTCTCAGACTGCTGACTGGAAGGGTCCTAAAAATACCACCACTAGAACCATGGATGACTATGCTCAGATTTGGGATGGGTTTATATGGCTTACCCCTGGTTATGGATATTTGAACACCTGGACACCTCTATGTTGGGAACAGAAAAATCATTCTTAACAGAACCAACCCAATTGTACAAGGAATATGGGATGGCTATCATTGGAACTGTGCAGTTATTCTGTCCTATTAAAGGTTAACAACTGGTTAGGCATTGACTGGTCATGCCACTTTGGTAAGTATTAGGTAACCCTGAATGGGAGCCAGCGGTGATGTGGCATAATTCTTTGGCAACGGCTGCATCCTCGGTTTTCCCTGGGCACAGGTGAGAGTCTGCCCCACAGTAACAACAATTACAAACCTCCTTTCCCTCCAGGCCAGGTGAGCACATTCCATTTTCCACTGGTACAATTACTTGGCCACCAACTTTGTCTCTTCCAATGGCCGGAGGGTGTTACAGCACATGCAGAAGGCCTTACTGCATTCACCCAGCAAGCCTTGGCTGACAGCCAACAAGTCTGTCCATACTCAACACTGAAGCGTCTCTAATAAAAAAGCTGTATTCCAAATAGAATGGCCTTGGACATTATTATTGCCTTACAAGGAGGAAACTGAACCATTATCCAAACAGAATGTGTATTCATATGTGATTATGAGTCCGCTAATGTATCATGTTTGCTAAGCCACATGAGGACAAGAAGTGTCCTCGCCAAGGGAATTTAAGAAATCAGTTGTTTGGATCATGCGGCTCCTAATCAGTGTATCTCAATCTGTGCTTTCTCCTGCTTGTGCCTGTATTGTTGCTGGGGTGTCTGCCTCTGATGCAGCCAGACAGCTGTCAAACGGGCCACTTCCATGCTAGTGAAACCCCTTGCTGACCACTCAAGGCACAGTGCAGGAGACAGGGGCATGTGAGATTGTATGAGCTGTCCCCGGGGCTGGAATGTCCTCGAGAGGACGTGACCACACGGTGACAACCACGCTGGACCCTTGGAGGCTCATCACTTTCTCCCATCCTTAAAAAGTGCATTCTGCTTGCCTTCCTCATGCTGGAAGCTGCCAGAGGGCACAGCCTTGAGAGAGCACATTGTTACTAAGAACTTCTGGACAGTGTATGTCCACACTGAACCCAGTTAAGGCCTCTATATAGACTTTTAAGTTTCTGGCAGGTGAGTGCAGAGATGTATTCATCTGTCGAGGTCTGAAACAAGCCTCATATGTAAGTTCCCTTTCTTATTAGGCCTGCCACCTACCAAACTGGAATGGCATTCCTCTTTCTTCATTCTCTCCCTGCCCTCCGTGTCTGTGTGCCAGTTTCAGATTACACCCAGGAAGCTCCTGAAGTTGTGAACTAACACTCCTCATCTAGTTGCCGCAAGGGTACCAAATATCAAGGAAGCAGGAGATTTACCTGGAATCTCCAAAGCCCTCCGATGTCATTAGTCCTTTCAAAGCAGGTGGGCTCCAAGCCTTCTTCCAGGCAGCACTTTATAGAGGTGAGCCCGCTGGCACCTCCCCCAATCACAGCAACTCTTTTCTTGGTCATGGTCTCCAGAGGTCTTCACTGGGATGTCTCAGTGAAATGTGTCCTAAAGGAAGGATGGCAAAGACAGAAAGCACAATCAGCTAACACCTTTCAAGCTTCTAAATAAATGCTGCAATACGATGTGCCTTTGGGGACGGCCAGCTTCTGCTGTCCAGAGGAATTGCTGTGCAGAGGAATAGGGAGCCCTGAGCTGGAAAAACCCTGAGCTCGGCTGTGGCAGCCAATCTCCCTGCCTTTCCTGCAGCACCTGACTGACCCTTTCGCGGCCACTTGGAAGCCACTCTACAGGCTGTTTCCAAAGAAATATAAAGCAACAAAGTGTAAACAGCAACCGCCTATGAGGCAGGGCCGTTCCTCGCCACCTCCTCTCAGCGAACAGCAGCCCGCCCGCGCCGCGGCGCTCCCGCCCTGCACCAGCGGTAATAAAACTTGGGCTCAAACGGCTTTGGGCAAAAAAGAATTAAATTTACAACCTCTCCACTTCTCAGCGCAATTGCCCACACGCACTACTAAATCTCTCTGGAGACGGAGAGACGGGTATGTCCAACCCGCTCGCCCCTCCGTATCCACTTTTAACTTCCTGGTATTTGCCTTAAAGTGACAAACTCCTATTGGGGAAGGAAGCTATCGATAACCCCAAAGCAAGTCTTGCTGCAAAAGCCTAAGTGAAAAGCGCGCACCTTTCAGGAGATCTGTGAAAAAAGATCCCAGCCTCCTCGCCCACCTCCCCACCCAATCCCCCCCCCCCTTCACAGACTAGGTCTTTGGTTTTAGCTAATGGTAGAAATCTACTTTAAAATGTCCATGCGCTGAGGCTGGGTGCTGGGGTGCGGTAAGGAGTGGATTGCTTTTCCAATTTAGAGAGCTTATAGTTTATTGAAGACCAAAACACAGATCATTTTAATACAACAGAAATATATTTTTAAGTGCCATTGCTCACACAGTTGTATGTATAATTAAAAACACAAAGTATTGACTTTTAAGATGTAAACATAGAATTTTCAAATATAAACTCATGCAGAAAAGGCCAACGTAATGAATATAGGATTTCATACAGTCGTTCAGAATCAGGGCCCATCCAACCCTGGATTTTGACAGATGTAAGGGGTTTTCAGAGACGTAAGTTGCGGCTGATGCCATATTTCTTTGTTCACCTTCTACTCCCTGAATCAACTTGGCTCAAGACAGTGGGATGCCAATAATGCCAGCCCTGGTTTTGACTTACTGGCCTCATCCTAAAAGTATCCTTCATAGGTCAATAGTTAGCATTTCTCAAGGGCTTTCCTGTATGGTTCAAAAGGTTTAAAATGGACCCAGGCAATCCTCTTAGCAACCTCATGAAGCATCACGCCCATTTAGCAAGTAGGTGAAAGGACAGAGATTCAAAGCAAGACATCTGGCTTCAGACCTGGGCTTTCAATCACTTTATTCACTGCTCCTTTACAAGGAGATTTTTATTTTTTACTTAATCGCAAATCCCTCTTCCATTTCTCATCTCTCTATTGCATCACTTTTCTCTTTGCCCTAATCTCTACCTTTATGTTTTACACTTTAGTTGAACTGCTTTTAGCTGGGCTTGCCTTTATGTTTAAAACATAACTGCTTTATGTTTAAAAATAGATATTTGGTTTGTGAGGAATAACTTGGGCCCTATCAGGAAAATTTCTGCTAAACATATGATCTGAATTATATGAAAATATAGTAAACACACACACACACACACACACACACACACACACACACACACACACACACACACAGTGGGGAACACGTTGTGTCAACATGGCCTAATAGGAAAGTAAGGAGGAAAAGGCTCCAGGATGAAATTTTATACATAATTCTCAGTAATTTAAAAATGATTTTGCTTTTTGATGTAGTTCTTATTTATCAAAATGTCATTATTCTTTTAATAGCCACATCAAGATGACCTAATCCAAAAGTTCTAATAAAAAGATAAAAGGTTGCTCTTTACTTTTGCTCTGGGTTCTCTTCTCACTTTGCTACAGAAATCCCTTATTCAACTAGTGTCTTTACATATTACACCAAATAGAATGACTTCTGTCACCAAATATTTTTCCTTCTGTCTAATACAACCTTCTCCTAGAAAGAAAAAGCAGGGTTTTTTCAGTTACCTAAATGTATCTACCCTGAGATTTCGGAGAAATTAGTTTCACATTCCATTCCCCTCCAAGATTTGCAGTAGTGGAAGGGCCAAGGGACACTTGAGATAAGAATATTGCATCCCATCATCCTGTTTCTATTAGACCATAGTTTATCGGGTGTTGAAGAAGGTAAATGACTTTCTTTCAATTAATGAGTTGCTGGACCACAAGGAGCCACATCTGAATCTGACAGAGATTCTCTGCAGTCATCCAGAGATTCCAGAACTTGAACTGGGTGTCATAACTGGATAGGACTCAGAGCTGTTTCCCTGGGGTGGGGATGAGCATATCGGGAGAAGGATGAACACAGAATCTCAGTGGCCACAGGGAGTGCAGTCATTTAGGCATTTTCTTATCTGGAGCTACTAATTTTGAACTGTTATATGGATGCTAAGTAAACAGCTTAGTTTTTTGTTAGTGCTGTGGAACTCTTAATTTTGCTTTTTATAGCAGTTTATCCAGCACTAATTAGTATTAATATTCTCTGGGCCTGCACCTTTTTAAAGAGTGATATTTTCATAAAAACTTTCAGTTATAAATGTGCATTATGCTGTAGTGATACCTTTTAAAAATGAAATTCTGAAAGAGTGGTTTAACAGCCATTTTACATATTGGAAATTTAACTTAAAAATGAGTTACTTGTTAATTGAGTAATTTTGAATGTACTAGACATGCCTACTTAAAGGAAAAACTGATCAATATTCTTATAAACGGAATATTAATCTTTTCCTGCTGAATCAGTTTTACAATTTTACAATCAGAACAAAACAAGAATTATTTTTAAAACTTAATGTTTTACAATGTAAGTTAATTTTAATGCTCTACCACTTTAATTGTGCTTTGTAATTAATTATTTTTGAATTTGACAAATATGTTTTGCTCTGTTTTAAAATTACTTGTAAAATATTTTAAACCTTGACTCCAATTTTCTCTTTAGGCTAACTGCCAATTTGCAAGTGAGTCAATTTCTTCACTGGATTGTACCATACATCCAAATTAATACACAGGTTCAACTCAGTTACTCATGCTGTTGGGAAAGAGCAGTAGCAGTAGCACAGTGATAGTAATAATAATGAATTCCAAGATAGTGCATATAAGACTTGAAGGAGCATCTGTGTGTGAGTGTGTTTGTGTGTGCATGGATGTATAATTTTGTTTACAAAGGGATTTCTGCAAAGGTTCAACCCAAGAGGAGCTTTTGGGCAGCATAACCTTACCTCAACTCAGATTTTCTTCCATGTCCAAATTCTTCCTGTGAAGTCTGCACTTTGCTTGCCTTCATTCAATAAATATTGCCCTTTGGAGGCCATTAAGACAGCAGCTTTGTGAGATAGAAGGAACTTGAATCTTGGTTGAAGAACTGCTGAGGAAAACTGCCCCATCAGCATTTGACTGTGACATGAGTGAGAGATAATTTTTGTTGAATTAACATTTGATGATTTATTTATTACAGTAGTAAAGCCTGTATTAGTCAATCCTGACTAGGGCAGGAGTCACTTACACTGTAATACCCATTCTATGCCTGCTATATGCTAGGTACTCTGTTAGGCGCAGAGGAGGGAGGAAGGAAATGAGATAAATTGTGGACGTTGTGGTAGGCTGAAAACATGGCCGGTCCCTCAGAAGATCCTCATTCTGATCCCAGACTCTGTGAATGTCACCTTATATGGTAAAAGGGACTTTGCAGATGTGATTAAAGTAAGGATCTCCAGATGGGGAGAGTATCTTAGATCATCCAGGTGGGTCTAATGTAATCACAAGCATCCTTATATAAAAGGGAGAATGAGGGAGATTTGACCATAGAGAAAGAAGGCAAGATGTCTTGCTTCTGGCTTTGAGGATGGCGGAAGTCCCAGAACCAAGGAATGCAGCCCTAGAAGCTAGAAAAGGAAACAGATTCACCCCTAGAGCCTGGAGGGAGTACAGTCCTGTGGATGCTGTGATCTTGCCCCAGAGAAGTCTACTTTGGACTTCTAGTTGCCAGAACCATAGGAAAATTAATTTGCATTGTTTTAAACCACTATGTTTGTGGTAATTTGTTAGAGCAGCCACAAGAAATTAATACAGGTGTGATAAGCACTTGCACAAGATGAGGAAACGGATTTGTTTAAAAGTAAACTAATCTGAAAGACACCATCTGTGTTTCTTTTTTGAAATGAAATGTCAGTCAAACAGCTCTGCCCATTGTGCTTTCTGTAGGTCCAGGGCTGCACACCATGCTCTCACACAAAAAGACAAACAGCAGAACCAAGCCTTCCATGATTTTCAAAGATGATTAGAAACACGGAATATAAACCCACTAAAAAGAATTAAAGGAGTTACCAAAGGGAAAAGGACTGGGGAGGATGGGTGGGAAGGGAGGGATAAGGGCGGAGAAAAAGGAAGGGGGTGTTACGATTAGCATGTATAGTGTGGGGGGTGGCATGGGGAGGGCTGTGCAACACAGAGAAAACAAGTAGTGACTCTACAGCATCTCACTAGGCTGATGGACAGTGGCTATAATGGGGTGTGTGTGGGGAACTTGGTGAAGGGGGAGCCTAGTAAACATAATGTTCTTCATGTAATTAAAGATTAATGATAACAACAAAAAAAAGGAATTAAAGGTACTTAAAAACACCGTAAAAAGCAAGGGAAAATCTCCAATGATGGAATGATTGGGTTCTAAAAAGTTAGTTTTTATCATTGTTGAAAATCAAAAAATCCATTCAATCTTCAAAATAGCATGAAAGAAAATCAGTTTGAATTAAAATCCCAGATCAGCAAGGAATGGAATTTTCGAGGTAATGGCTCTGAGTGATTCACATAGAGAACAACACTAGTAGTCAAGGAGTCTCTGGGGGCTCTGTCCTCCCATTCACCCTCAGGCAAAGGGTCCTTTCTGGCATATACATCAGAGACAGCTGAGACTTGGACTAGGGTGGGTCAGTGGAGATCCTGAGAAACTGATTCTGGACATGGTTTGGAGGTAGAATGACTGTGAAGATGGAGCAGAGGTGTCATTCTGCCCGTCCGCTTGGCCGCTTTCCCAGCCGATACCCACCTCCAGAAATAAGCATTACTTTTACTTTTAATACCATAGATGAGTTTTTTAATTGAGATATAATTGACATACAACATTATGTTAGTTTCAAATGTACAACATAATGATTTTGTTAGGAATGTTAGGTAGAAGAGATAGACACAGCAGCCTGGAAAGAAGAAGATAAGGTTAAAAAAAAAATGCCTGCCCAAACACTGTCCAGGTGAGGGTCCCACATGAAGACAACAAAGGCTTTGCAGGGAGATAACTTCTTGCCTATCAGGACCAGGCCAAACCTGTCCCAACCAGATCCAGGCACAATCCAGCAAAACTAGGAATCACCCAAACCACACCTCCTTATAATCTCATAAAATTTCAGTTTTCTTCTACCTCTCACTCCATGGGCTTTTCTCTGTGCAT